TACTTGTACCTTTTTCTGTTTTATTTAAGGAGAAAAAGAAAAAAAAACTGAATGAATCCCAGTTTTTGTGGAAGTGATCAGGCAACTGGTGGTGCCATTTTCTGAAATAAAGAAGACAGGCAAAGAGTGAGACAAGATTTTGGGAGTACCCAAATCCCTTTTAGATGCTCTAGGTTTAATACATCCAGTAGGCATGCTGAGGAAGATGTCAAGTAGTAACCAGATGCAGATTTGAAACTCAAAGATAGATCTACACTGATGAGGTAAATGCATGGCTAATTAGCATATGAAAGGTGTTTTAGACCATGAAAATGGTTGATACTAAGCAATGATTTTTCATGAAGGTTTATCATTTGTAACAAAGTTCTCCTCAGGGACATTGAAAATGGGGGAGGCTGTGGATGTGTGGTACAGTAGTGTTATAAATTTCTATACCTTAATTTTGCTATGAACTTTAAAACTGCTCAAAAAATAAAGTCTTTTTCTGTTTTGTTTTGTTTTTGTTTGTTTGTTTATTTTGGTTCCAGGAATCAAACTCATGACCTCGTACTTGCCAGGCAGGTGCTATGGCTGCTGAGCTACGGTCCCCAGCCCAAAGTCTATTTTTTTAAATGATGAGACTATTTAATGAGAAAATCTAAAGAAAGGAAGATCCAAGATTGACCCTTCAAAAAAATTTAGAATTTAAGTAAACAAAAAAGATCTAAAAAAAAGTTTAACAAAGATTAGGCAGGGGAAGAAGACAAACAAGACTGCAGTGTTGGGAGAGCCTAAATGAGAAAGTATTTCAATGAAGAACTAGTAGCCAACTGGTTCTAATGCTGTGAAGAGGTCAAAGATGATACAAAGACTGTTCCGGTAGCCGGTAATGTGGACACCAGTGTGATAAGAACAACTTATCACAGAGTGTTGGAGGGAGGCGAGGGAGAGTCAATGGAAGGTGAAGAAATTATATAACGAGTAGATGATGCAAGAAGTTAGACTTTGAAGTAGATCTATAAAATGGGCTGGTCATTAAAGGGAGGTATGAAGTCAAGAGAGGACTGGTTTTTTTATTAACCTGAAATATATTACAGCATGTTAACATGATGAAAGATCCTTAAAGAGCCAGAGGTTAATGATTGGGGGGGGGGGCAAAAATAAAACTAAGACAAGAATTCCAAGCAGCATTATTCATAATACTCAAAAAGTTAGAAACAACTCAAGGGTCCATCAACTGATGCATAGATAAATAAAATATGGCATATTTGTAATGTTACCTGGGCATAAAGAGAATAAAGCACTGCTACATGCCACAAGAGGGATGGACCTTAGACGAATTATGCTTAGTGATCAAAGAAGCACTTGGAAAAACCACATCGATAATATGAAATGTGAAGAACTGGTAAGCCCAAAGAGACACAAAGTAGACTGGTGATGAAGGAGGGAAATGAGAGTGACTAACAAGCACAGGGTTTCTCTGTGAAGCAGTGGAAATGTTCTAAAATTGACTATCGTGATGGTTGCACAATTCTCAATATATTAAAACCACCAAATTGTATAATATAAATCGGTAGATTTCATAGCATGTGAATTACATCTCAATAAAGCTCTTCAGTGACATTTTTTTAAAAATAGTGATGAGAAACCTTGTATAATATAGGCATAAAAAAGAGAGATTGGTCCCTGACAGGAAGAGCAACACATCTTGTATTGTAACAAGGAAAGAAAGATGCAAATAATTTGTAGGCCATTGACAGTTTACATCTGGTAGCTCCTGTCATAAAGCGTGAGGCAAATTCATCAGTTGAGAGTAAAGTAAAGGCAGAAGAGGAGTTATAAGCTGGAGACAGAGTGCAGCATCACAGTGCCCATGTGGCAAGCATGAGTCCCTGAGTTTGATTCCTAGTTAAAAGAAGAGGCAAAGGAGGAGGAGGAGGCACTTATCTTGACACTTAACACAACCAAATATTTTTTTCCCAACTCCGAAGTTCACATCATTACTGATGGATATACTATTAAAGGGCTACTCAGGCAAAGGAAAACCATTCTAATGGTTTCAAACAGAAGAAATACAATGAGAACTGGTCAGAAATATGTTATAAACAAGGAACAACCAAAGGGAGAAGTTGGAAGGTTGGAGGGACAGAAATGAAGAAAGAAGGGATGATACCCAGAGATCACGGCCACCAATACTAGTCCACTTCAGCCCCAGCCTCCCAAGGATATCCTGTGCTCAAGCCATCACATGTTCTAGTTTTGCCAAGAAGGGGCCGCCTCCACCAGAGCTGGGAACTGCTGAAAAGATGCATCCCCTGACTCGGCAGATGGAGACTGGAACCTTCCCATCCCCACTGCTATTCTGGTGAGCCACAGAGACAACTGCTGCACCATCCAGCCAGAAGCAGAAAGATGCTCTGTCTTCTTCCCAATGTGATCTTCCCCCAGTGCCTTCTACTGGCAGAACCCACAAGGAAACCAGCAAGCCTGGGAGCCAGAGAAATGTAATTTGCAGATTCCTAATCATAGAACAAAGAATAAAAGAACAGATGAAAAGCCAAGAGAATAAAGATGAACAACTACCTAACAGTAAGTAGAAAGAATTCTCAAATAATGTCTACTACAAGAAAAGTAATTTCATATCCAGCCTACTGTTTAACATTCTGAATGCAATATGGTAGTTAAAGCAATTAAGCAAGAAAGAACTACACAAAAAATTGAAGAAAAGTAAAATTATCACTATTTCCATGTATCATTTTGTACTTAGAAAAATTCAAAGAATCTAGACTTTTAAATTAATATGGGCCAGGCATGGTAATGCACAGCTGTAATCCAAACACTTGGGAGGCTGATTCAAGAGGATTTCTGTGAGTTTGAGGCCAGCCTGGGCTACAAAGTGAGTTCAAGGCCAGCTTAAGCTGCATAGTGAAATCTTATCTCAAAAAAATAAAATAAAATAGAGCCAGAAGAGAAACTACACTTTCTCATGAAGCAAGCTCTGCCATGTGGATTGGTAAGAGCCTCAACCAGAAGAGAAATCATGCCCTCCTATAAAGCAAGCTCCACCATGCTGACGGGTAAGAGCCTCAGCCAGAAGAGAAACCACGCCTTCCCATGAGCCAGCCATGTGTGGGCTCACACACCAGAAAAGCATTCTTCCCCTCACCCTTACCCAATGATTTGGAAGATTCAAGGTGAGATGACAGCAACTGAGAAGGGAATAGCTTGATACTTACATTGTTTAGATGACTCTGCAGGCCTGGGGCTGGTGGTCTGGGCAACTGCTTGGAGGATGGCAGGGTGCATTGTCTTTATATTTTAATTGGCTGCATTTGCTCCTGTCTTGTTTTTGAAATCCAATGTTTTGTTCCATTTTACCTCATTTTTATCCCTGCATCTGGTAATCTGAGCAACTATTTTGAAGATAACAATGTGCAGTATTGTTCTATTTTGTTTTGTTTCAATTTATTGTTTTATTTTAGTCAATGTTATATCTTGGTTTGTTTTGTTTTGTTTGATTTTGATGTCTGACAGTATGAACAACTATTGTGAAGATAGCAAGCTATATTATGGTAGCCACTGAAATTTCTTTTTTTGTTTTGTTTTGTTTTGTTTTGTTTTGTTTTGTTTTGTTACCAGGGATCAAACTCATGACTTCGCATTTGCCAAGCAGGCACTTATACTGATGGGCTAAACCCCCTGCCACTGAAATTTCTTAGTATCCTGTTTTGAAGTTCTGTACCACTTTCACTGCTTTGTTTTGATTGGCTTTATTCTGTTTTGTTCTGTTGGATTCTATTCTCTTTAAAATAGAATAAAAAATAAAATATTAATGTAAACAGTGAAAGAATTTAGTATGATAGCTAGATAAAATATACAAAAATAAAAAATATATATGCAAAAAAATATATATATGCAAATGCAACCAATTAAAATATAAAGAACATAGTCCCTTTTATAATAACCAAAGAGAAATAAATAAAATAAGTATGAACCAGCTTATCAAATATTCAGTATCTCCATGAACATATCTTTAAAATACTTCCCTTTGACCATTATACATTCAGTGTGCAGACTTCAGGACACTGTGAGGAGCAACTCCCAAGATACTGAGGGTGGCTTCAGCCAAAAGAGAAGCCACCAAGTGCTTCATGCTAAGATGTCTGTGAACCAAGGTCTAGTCTCTGAGACCTCCCTGCCTTAGTGGTGATCTTTGGCCTGTCCTGAAGTCTTAGGGTACTGTCCTGGGCTGCAACCCAGATCCCCAGGAGGCAGTGAAGACCTGCTTCTGCAGTTTTCTTTACTCTCCTTAGATCACACATGCGTGGGACCAGGGGAAGATCCTGGAACTGTGTAAGGCCCTCCAGCTTCTCCTTGATTCCCCTACCTTGTAGATGAGGGGTTGAGACCCAGCATGTAAAAATATTTGCCCAAGGAAACACAATTAGTGGCAAAACTAAGACTAGAACCCAAGACTCCAACTCTTCTACTCTGCATTTTTTCCTATTTCTAGGGTCTTAAAGACCTGAATTTGATAATGAACACTAGTCAGCTCAGAAAGTACCTTTCTCTTGATCCAAAGCCTCCCTCCTTCTCAGGACCAATTAAGCCTAAGCCTAAACACTCTGCTTGATCTCCATGAGGGCAAAGGCACATCACAGTTTACAAAGTCCAGGGGGTGTACTGGAGAAACCCAACCAGAATTACCAGCTTGTATAACCTGAGTGGAGCAGAGGACACACCCCATGAGTCAGCACTGCCCTTAGCATTCAGTGCCCTGAAGCTGAGCTCTGAGATAACCAAGCTATCTCCCTTCTGCTCCCCTGAGGTGAGTCAGAACATCTCATCCTTTCAGCTGGGCCAAGGACCTCCAAATGCAGAAATAAGACATCACCTGTGCCTTCCCCCCACACAAAATTTGCAAAGAGCCTGTGGCTGTGGGATCCATGCCCTCTAGAAGGATTTCACACACCCACTCCAGCCTATAAAAAGGAAATCATGTGCAGAGGTAAAAGAGCAAAGTCCTGTCACAGGAGGAGGGGAAACGTGTCTGCAGAGGCTGAGCAAAATCCTGCAGTAGCACAACTGGAGCTGGTGCCATGGACACGCTGGTTAGACTCCTGCAGCTGCTCGTGCTACTCCTGACCCTGCCCCTGCACCTGCTAGCTCTGCTGGGCTTATGGCAGCCCTTGTGCAAAAAGTACTTCCCCTACCTGATGGTTGTGCTGACCACCAAGAACAATCACCTGATGAAGAGCCACAAACGGAAACTCTTCAGCCAAATAAAGGAGCTTAAGGGAAACTCTGGGAATGTGAACCTACTAGAGCTGGGCTGTGGCACTGGTGCCAACTTCCAGTTCTATCCACCTGGCTGCAAGATCACCTGCCTAGACCCAAACCCCAACTTTGAGAAGTTCCTGACAAAGAGCATGGCTGAGAACAGGCACCTCCAATATGAGAAGTTCTTGGTGGCTCCTGGAGAAGACATGAAGCAAGTGACTGATGGCTCCATGGATGTGGTAGTCTGCACTCTGGTGCTGTGCTCTGTTCAAAGTGTAAAGAAGGTCCTGCAGGAAGTCCACAGAGTGCTGCGGCCGGTGAGCAGAGTGGGAAGGGATTGGGCCACCCTAGAGGTTGGGGCCTCAAGATGGGGAATCTAACACTAGCACATTTGACACCCCGCCATTGCTACCTGCCCCTGGAGGGGAGATGGCAACATGATTCAGTACAAACAGGATGCTATGAAGCATAAAGGAGCATCTTGTGACACAGGGCATGGGGACAGCCAGGAGACACCTAAGGAACTGATATTTAAATGGAGATTAGGGTGCGGAGAGGGGTGGGGAAATAGAAGAGTTCTATTAGAGATAATAGGGGAAGTGCAGTCCATAAGATTTTGAGCTGAAATATGGAGAAAAAGGAGTTCAGGATGAGCCAGGGGTTTAGCTCAGCGGCATAAGTGCCTGCCCCGCAAAAATGAGACCACCAGTTCAATCCCCAATACCAAAAGAAAAAAAAGGAGTTCAAGATAGTTTCCAAATTGCTAGCATGAGCAGGTACTCATGCTACAAGTGTCATTTGCTGGCATAGAAGGATTATTAGGTCTCAGGAGCTGCTGAGATAGCCAAGCAGAAAAACCACACAGGTTGAGAGAAGTCCAGATCTAGATGGCAGAAAAAGATACATCCTAGAGGTAGAAATTTGGACACCATCAGTCTGTAATTCAGAGTGTAAGTGAATTAGCTAGGGGGAGCACAGAAGGGTCAGGAGAGCTTGAAGAACCCACACTTTAGTTGGATTGGGTCTAGTCCTAATTTTCCCCAGGATGTTCAAGGAGAAGATTGAGAAGTGGGTGTAGCATGCACCACAGTGTCAGGAGCCACCCACGCACATCTCTATACCGTGAGCTACCCGTGAGTCCTGTTTCGGTCTTCCCTGACTACACCATGCTCTCAGTCATTCTTTAAATATCTCTGCCATCATCTCCACTTGACTACAAGAAGTTCTTTACATGCACTTTGAGGGAAGGTAGGGAAACATTAGGAGCAGGACAGTCTGCTCTGTGAACGTCCAAGCCAGCAGCCCCCATGTCACCAAGATGTCTCACTAGGCTTGGTCAGCAGGCAGGGCAGGAGGTTATAAGAAAGGGAGGCACCCGTGAGTCCTGTTTCGGTCTTCCCTGACTACACCATACTCTCAGTCATTCTTTAAATATCTCTGCCATCATCTCCACTTGACTACAAGAAGTTCTTTACATGCACTTTGAGGGAAGGTAGGGAAACATTAGGAGCAGGACAGTCTGCTCCATGAACGTCCAAGCCAGCAGCCCCCATGTCACCAAGATGTCTCACTAGGCTTGGTCAGCAGGCAGGGCAGGAGGTTATAAGAAAGGGAGGCACCCGTGAGTCCTGTTTCGGTCTTCCCTGACTACACCATACTCTCAGTCATTCTTTAAATATCTCTGCCATCATCTCCACTTGACTACAAGAAGTTCTTTACATGCACTTTGAGGGAAGGTAGGGAAACATTAGGAGCAGGACAGTCTGCTCCATGAACGTCCAAGCCAGCAGCCCCCATGTCACCAAGATGTCTCACTAGGCTTGGTCAGCAGGCAGGGCAGGAGGTTATAAGAAAGGGAGGGACCAGATGTGATGGTGAACCCTGTAATTCCAGCACTCAGGAAACTGAAGCAGAAGGATCACTGGAAGTTCGTGGCCTACCAAAGGCTATATAGTAAGTTCAAGGCCACCCTGAGCTATACATCAAGACCCTATCTCAAAAATACCACCAAAAAAAAATGTTAGGGAGGATGGAGCAGATAAGTGACATGAAGTCTCTCTTCCCTCCCAGGGAGGAGTGTTGTTCTTCTTGGAGCACGTGGCTGAGCCTGACGGAAGCAGGGCCTTTATGTGGCAGCAAGTCTTTGAGCCTACCTGGAGACACATTGGGGACGGCTGCTACCTCACCAGAGAGACCTGGAAGGATCTTAAGATGGCCCATTTCTCTGAGGTTCATATGGAATGGCACCCCCCTCCCATCAAATGGCTGCCCGTTGGGCCCCACATCATGGGAAAGGCTGTGAAATAAGTTTCAAGCCCCTAAGGCAGGTCCTGGTTCCCTCCCCTCCTCCAGTCAGAACAAGCCACCACCACCCGGTCTGTCTCCTCTGAAAGGGACCAAGCAAAGAACAAGAGAAGCTCCCCTAGTCTCTGCTACCCCTAGATCGTCCGCACCTACAACTGGCAGGAGGAGTCTCTAGCTCACATTCCTCCTTCCACAGCAGAGAAGGTACAGCCTGTCCTCAAGTGCAAATTCCCAAACTTTGCCCACCCACATCCTACACAGCAACTGTCCCTGGCCCCTCACCCTCATCATGAATTCCCCCAACTCCTTCTGAAGATACACCCATGCACCCCTGGGAACCTGCCACTAAAGCCATGATACCTGGATCCCTGCTAGGCCACCTGAGCCTCCCTCCCACTACTGCCTTTGTCCTGGGCTGTGAGGGTACCAGAGAATCAGGGGTCCTGGGGTAAGGGAGCAGCACTTGGTAAGGAAACCAGAGATTTTGTCCTCAAATATTTTTTAATAAATAGACAAAACCCACTAGACTGACGTGGCAAACTAAGGTCAGAGGAGAGGGGACCTAGGAAGGGAGAAGCCCCTGAGTCAGTGACACGATCTCCTCCCTGGCCCTCTGGCTAAGGCACTTTGAGGGAGACAGGTTACACAGGGTGAATAGGAGAGGAGGAGCCAGGTTCCCTTCTCTCCAGGACATCCCTGTTCACCTCACCTCCTCATGCCTGATTCACCCCACTAATCTCACAGCATTTGATGGGGAAGTCTGGGGATTCTCGCGACTGGGAAAGGGCTGTGCCCCTGAGAAGCAGACCCTGCCTAGTGTTGATATGATGCCAGAAACTCATTCAACCCTCTCTATCCTAAGACACCATCTCAGGAAGAGGTGGAGGGGACTATGGACCAGGCTAGAGAAGGAAGCTAGGCCGTGCTCGGCACAGGATGCCCATCAGGGCCCAGCTCAGGGTGCCCATCAGCAGCCAGGATGGGGTGTGCATCTGGGGCCTCCCGCCGGGGGCTGCTCCAGTTGTTCCTCAAGATGGTGCCTGTTTTCTCCTCCTTAAACTGCTGTCGATCTTCCCGAGGGATCTTCACCGCGTGGTATTGGGGCACACTGGCCTCCGGGTGCTTCGCTCGCTTGAAGAATCCCATCTATAAGACACCAAGTCAGACCATGAGGCACTTGCAGGACTGAGGTTCCTGGAACACCCAGTATAGCCCTGTACTCTCCCTTTTCCATCCCTGGGACAGAAAGAACCAACCAGGGCATAAAAATACAAGATGACCAGCAACCAGTGTGGTGAGCAGTCTCCAGGGTACCACCCAAGTGCCAGGGCCCCAGGTTCTCACAGCAAAGGGTTACTAGGAAAGAGCCCAAAACAACATACCAAGAAATCTCCCTTGGCCCCTGAAAGTCTGGCTTAAATGTGGAACTCCCAATTTTATCACCCACCCACCCTTTTTAAGAGGCCCAACAACCCAGAACATAAGCAAGAGCCGAGGAAGGAAGTGGTTTCCTAGACTCCAGCATACCTGGAACACTGTCTCCAAGCCCCACACACCTACACACTGTGTGCTCATACACTAGGCAGCAGCCACTGGGACAGGGCCTTCGCGTCCATGAATACACAGTTTAGGTCCTCCCTCCCCATGACCATGCTGGCTCTAGTTGTCCCAGTGGTAAGTGCCCTTGCATACTCACACTAGAAATACTTGACACTCCTACATGCTTGGGCTGCACTGCATTTTCTTGCCCATTCGCCTCACACTCATCCCTAAACACAGCACGTGCATGGATCCTCCCGCCCCCACATGCTCACAACCCATGAGCAGACCTCATGCTCTGTGCAAGCCCTAGTGCTGTACACTTACCCTCCTGACCTTGGCCCTTCTAATTACCTCTCACCTCAGTTCTAGACCTCACATCACCCTCATGCAGATTCATATCTTCACCTGCACATTCCTGATCCTCTGAACACTAGAAGCTGGACTTACTCTTACACATACACATATACCCACACTCACAGACACGTGCACACATACAACAGTTACCCCACAGTCCCTGGGCCCCCAACTTCCATGGCCGAGGGTTGCACAGCCAGATGTGCTCGGTGATAGTTGGTGGGGAAAGATGAGCTCTGACCGCTCCGATGGAAGAAGCCACACTGGGATATTGAGGGAGGAAGTAAGCAAAAGAGGCATAGGACAGAAGCCCAAAGAAGGAGGAGGCAAGCATTTGGGACTAGCTTCAAGAAGGCCTCAGTCTTTCTAAGACTGAGCAGGTTCCCAACAGCTTAGCTGTCACTCCAGAGTTGCTCCTCTGATAACACACACTCATCAAAGAGGGGTCATCTGTGATTAGTCTCAAAGTGAGAAGGGCATTCTCCACAGAGGCCCAAGTGCACATGGCTCCCCACACAGAACATGAACCCAGATGACATGTAGGAGCCTCAGTACTGACCCATGCATGTGTGTCCTTTTATGTTGAAACCCAGAAGCCAATAAGGTTCTCTTACAGCTATGTGTACACATAGTCTGCTATGGGGAAACGCCAAGCTGAGCCCTGCCAGCAGCTCCTGGAGCTAGTTCTCCACACTTGCTGGTCTTCCTGACTACAGTTTCCTTTATAACCTTCATAGCCACACTCTGGTTAAATAAGACCACACTTTCCTGCCTCCATGATCTTTCTGGAAGCCTCAGGCCCCACCTATTGCATTGGTCCACATGCAGACCTACTACCCCAACCTCCTCTAAAGCTGGCTCCAGGGTCACTTCCTCTCAAGTCTCTTCCTCTGAACTCACATTTCTCAGCTCAACACCTGGTTTATCCTTAACTAGAAGACTCACCACCCTCACTAGCTATGAAATCCCAAGGACAAGATCTATACCTATGTCATCTTTGAAATGTCGCCAGAAATACTTTGTACCACCAGGATAAGCGCTCAGAGGGGTCACAGAACACACGAGTGGAGTGTGTGGGTGCATACAGGAGGCCGCCCGCCTGACTAGGAAGTACAGTCCCAGTAGCGCCAGTGCTTCCCAGGCCTCACCTTCCATAGCAGCAGCACCAACAGCGCCAGCACCAGTAGCCCGGCCAGCACAGCCAGCAGGATGACCCACCATGGGATCCCTTTCGCCACCACAGCCATGGGGTCCAAGTACACCATCACTGGGATCTGGGGAGCAAGGGGTCAATAGCATAAGAGAAGGAGAAAAGAGAAGGCCCCACCTGCCCAACCCCACCCTGTAGCTCACCACCATGGAAGCATCTCTCAGCACCAAGTTCTTGATGGAGGACTTCACCGTGATATTGGCTCGCACAATCACTTCCAGGGACTTCACAGCTGAGTACTCCTAAGGAAGCAGGGAAAGATACCCTGCTCCTAAACGCCCCATGACTCCCACTCAGATCCTGAAGTTACAAATGGAATGATGCCCAACCCAGTGGATGTTTCTGCCCAGCTAGAGTCAAGTGTGCTGCATTTGGACAGGGAAGAGATAGAAATGAATTTCAATGGGGTTTTTGTAGGAAAAAAAAGCTGGCCTGATGCTCCAACAGTGGCCTTACCTCCAGAAACGTGCTGTTCCAGAGACGGCCCCAGACGTGCAGCACAGCTGCGCGGTCAAAGCTGTAGAGTGGGCAGCTGAACACCACACATTTGGCTGTACCCTGGGCGCAGTCCTGTGCGCAAGGACAGACAGAGCTCTGAGCTGCTCAGCCCCACTCCACCAAGCCTACCATTTCTCCCATTTTCCGTATCCAGCCCCAAATTCTCCTCTTCTAGGAAGTCTCTGTAAAGTAACCCTGTGGTCAAAACCGCTGCCTATTCCAAATCAAGCTATTTGCCTTTGAAATGCACTGCGGTGGAGGGTAGGGGGCCTCTTACTTCACAGCAATAGGCAGAGTAGATGTCCCAATTTATGCTTATGCTACCTAGTAATGGTCTCATTTATTGAGCACCTACTTCCTGCAAGGCACTCATCTCATTCACACACAACTCCTGCAAGGTGCATATTATTACATCATTTTTTAAATGAGGAAATTGAGGCCCAGAAGAAAACATGACCAGCCTACCTCAAGTCACAAAACTAGCAAAGCTAAGTAAGTGATGACGCAGATATTTGAAGCCAGGTTCATATTCAGCAAAACCACATCTTTGGCTAAGCTCAAATTCACTGAAGGAGGACAATGCTGCCTGTCCCAGGATTGCTGGGGGCAGAGCACTCAGACCATGCTCCTTCCTGTTGTGACCTAAACCCACTGGCCCACTCACCATCAACAACCCATTTGCCAAAAGATACAATATAATCATCATACCACTGTCCATAGATAGAACAGTTTTGAGAACAATTGAATTCTTTTGAGTCATCTTTTATTTTCCCACCTTTGAGCAATTCAAGAATCTTCCATTGGCCAGGGATTTAGCTCAGTGGTACAAACATCTGCCTGGCAAGCATGAGGTCATAAGTTCGATTCCCGGTACAGAAAAAAAAAAGTCTTCCATCAATTTGCTTAAAAGCAAAGCATCTGCCTTAATTTCATAAAAAGAATCTATTTCAGACATTATATTAAGTGAAATAAGCCGGGCACAGAAAGACAAATACTGAATGATCTCACCCATATGAGAAATTTGAGAAAGTTGAACTCATAAAAGTAGAGACTAAAAGCCCAGTATGGTGGCACACATCTGTAATCTCAGCACTTGGGAGGTTGAAGCAGGAGGATTATTGTGAGTTCAAGACCAGCCTAGGCTACAAAGTGAACTCAAGACCAGCCCAAACTGCATAGCAAGACCCTGTCTCAAAAAGACAAAAAAATGTAGAGACTAGAATATCCATTACACAGAGTTGGAGTGGTGGGGATGGGGTAGGGAGATGTTGGCTAAAGGATGCAGTTTCAATTAGGTAGGAGAAATAAATTCAAGACATCTATTATTCTATCTACAACATAGTAACTATAGATATTAATACTATATTTTTCAAAATTCCTCTGAATAGATTTTAAATGTTTGCACTATAAAAAAGAAGTATGTGAGGGGCTGGGGATTTAGCTCAGTGGCATAAACACCTGCCTTGCAAGTGTGCAAGTGTGCGGTCGTGAGTTCAATCCCTGGTACCGATAAAAACGAAAGACAAAAAAAAAAAAAGTATGTGAGGCATGTTATGTTAATTAGATCAACTAGCCATCCCACAATGTATACATGTGTTTTCTTTTCTGATTTTTTTTTTTTTTTTTGGTTTTTGGTTTTTGTTTTTGTTTCTTTGTTTTTTTGAGACAAGTTCTCACTATGCAGTTCAGGCTGGCCTTGGGCTCACTTTGTAGCCCATACTGGTCTTGAACTTGCAAACAATTCTCCTGCCTCAGCCTCCCAACTGCTGGGATTACAGGAGGGCACCACCATGCATGATGTATATACATTTTTAAAATATCGTGTTGGGGGCTGGGGGTTTAGCTCAGTGGCGTAAGTGCCTGGTACCAAAAATAAATAAATAAATAAATAAACAAACAAATAAAACATCATGTTGTCAGGCTGGGAATATAGCGGAGTGGCATAAGCGCCTGCCTGACAAGCGCAAAGTCTTGAGTTTGATTCCCAGTACTAAAAAAGAAACAAGAAAAATCATGTTGAACTGATAAATATATATATAATTTTGTCAATTAAAAAAATAAATAAATATAATCTATTTCAATCTGTATTAACAAGAGAGGCCACTCAGGCAATCAGTCCTGTGAAAAAGGCAGAACCATCTGAGCAGCTCAGCAACACCAAGTCCCCACAGTTCCAAGCCTCTGGGTTTAGTTTGCCGCAGACTATGCTTATGGGGAAACCGGAAGGGATGCAGTGTGGCCAGGGAGCTCCCTTCCCAGACAGACAGCACCAGTCCCCTGTAAACCATCCGCTTGCTGTCCTGCTCAGCCCTCCCATGGGCCTCTTCTCCACCTCCTTACCGCAAAGCTAAACACCTTCTCCTCCATGTCACTGCTACCTTCTCACCCACATCAAGAGAGACCAGCACATAGCATGTGCTCATTTGTTCAACAAATCCACATCCTGCACAAAACTAAGTGAAACAAGTAGGAAAGGAGAAAAGCAAAACTGCACAAGAGGGAGAGTTAATGAATCACATGTAATATATTATAATTTTGGGCAGGGGCTTTAGCTCAGTGGCATAAGTGCCTGCTTGGCAAACACGAGGTCATGAATTCAATCCCCGGGACAAAAAAAATTGTAATTTTAATTGTGAGAACTTAAAAAAAACACTTTTTTGTTTTTTTTTTTCGTTTTTATCGATACCAGGGATCAAACTCACAACTGCCTGCTTGCAAGGCAGGCGCTTATGCCGCTGAGCTAAATCTCCAGCCCCCCAAAAAATACTTTTGACATTATGAAAACCAAGCACGAATTGAGCTCAAAAGAACAAAGATGGCTAACGTCACCCCATGACCTATAAAGTGTGATGTTTGTATAAATTCGAGCAGAACCATGTCTTGGTTAACTGGCGGTAAGTCAAGTGCTGGGCATTTGGAAGTCTGTAGTATCAGCAGCTGCAGCACAGTCTCCCCCACCCTCAAGTTATGCTGCAAATCTTCTTGCCAATGTGCTTCAGTTGTTTAACTACTGTAATTTTTTTCCAGTACTGAGAATTGAACCCAAGACTTTCACTACGCTGGTTATTTCTGAGATAAGGTCTCACAAAACTGCCCAGGCAAGGCTTGAACAGAAAGCTGGGACAACAGGAATGCACCCTCACCAGGGTGATGTTCCTCTTCTTCTCAGCGTAGGACACTGGCCACCAGGATGTGCTGGGCTCCTGCTGCTCATAAGACTCCTGCTGCTCCGGCTGCTCCAGCTCTCGGCGCCTCCTATCCCTGTTGTCCACATCCTGGATACACAGGAGGAGGGACCAGTGAGTGTCACTCCAAATGCAGAAACCCTGAGCTTGCATCTTCTCCCCACCATCCACGCCCAAGATCCCAGCCCCATCACACCCCACCCACTCCTGCCTAAGCCTTACCAGCTGGAGGGTGTTGGGCCTGGGAGAACAGAGCCCCTTCTGCCCGGGGCCCTGCCCACCCTCCAACTCCACCCGCATGGGGTACAGCAGCCACTTCCCATTGGCGATCTCATGGGGCCACATGATGTTAAGGAAGGCAGAGCCCAAGGTGTTGAGTGATTGGCCTTGGTTGGACACCTGTGGGCAAAAGACAGCATGAAGGAAGGGGACTGAGAAGACCCTAACCTCATAGAGATGAGGGTGACATAGCTGAGGTGCCTCAGGAAGCACAGACTCCACAAAGGCTCAGGTTCTACACCAGACTGCACACCACTCCTGCCCCACACCAAACCCAGAAAAACCTGGAGGCATCCTAAGAAGGTGTGAGCAAGGGCCCCAGTCATGTCAGGGCAGAGTCCTAAGGACAGATGTCCACTCTTCAAAGGACCCAACAAAGAGGCTTCTCTGAGCTCTCACAGTGTCCAAGAACAGCGGTAGAGACAGATAGTCAAAATGACCAGCAAATTATCAGTGGAGGCTCCAGCAAGAACATCTGTCCACAACCCAAGTCCACATGCAGAGCTGAGACCCCACCATGCTGCCCCATGGGAGAAGAGCCCCAGCCCTGAGATACGGCTCAGTTCATTCTCTGTGCCAAGAAGGGAGGGGCCCGGGAGAGGCCACAGTTGGGACACTTACCGTGACCTCATACTTGACCTTGCTGCCCACATCCCGCTCAGACCGCATGGCACTCTCGCCCCTCACCACACCAGAGAAGAAAAGCTGCTGAGGTATGGCCACCCTGGTGAGAAGGGGTCAAAACAAGGGCTGAGGGGGTCTGGGGACTGGTTGAATGGAGGGTTGGAAGGCAGTGAGACAGAACCAAGGCCAGGTTGTGAAAGTGGTGATGCCCCTATCCTCCAGCAGAAATGCCCACTTGGGCAGGGCTTACCCTGTCACAGACAGCGGCAGCTCAATGAAGACACGGGCTCGAACAAAGGCTGGATGCAGCTCCTGCTCACTGATCCTGGCATGTGGGTGGGCACGGATGCATGTGGGCAGCAGGCAGAGTCATCCCCTATGTCTGATCTGAGTGTCCCAACACCCCCCACCCTGCTCCCACCAGGCTCACGTGGTCAACAGCAGCTCCACCTCTAACTCTGTGGTCTCAATGGTGATTCCAGAGGTGCTGAGGATGAGGTAGAAAGTGATCTAGGCCAGTGTGGAATGACAAGTGAGTCAGGGAAGGACCAGAGCATAAGGAGGGACCACTCGGACAGGGCAAAGGGCAGAAAGGCCTAACCTGGGCACCTCTCTTCATAGGGTTCCCCAGCTCACACTCAACATGGGAGGCATTCTCATTGGACAGGCACAGTGGCTTCTCCTAGAGTGGGACAGAGGTCCAGGTGAGTGTGGGGCACTGGTGCCTAAGACTTTTCCCCACCCTGCCCCAGGTTCTCACCCCAGAGTCCAACGCCCGGACTCCTGAGTAGTGCAGTGAGTCAGGAAGGGTGACCAAGAGCTGGGCTTCGTGGGCATCGTCCCCATCAGCCTGGGGCCGGGCTGGGTCCGAGGGCAGGTTGGTGACAGTCAGCTCCAAGCCAATGACTGGCTGCCCACTCAGTGCAAACAGGGTCGTCATCCCATCCACATCCCTGAGGACCAGATCCCATTCACTCTAAATGAGCCCTCTCCACTCCCAGCCTCCCCTTCTTAGCCTCAGCACATGCTGCTGCCTCCATATCCCAAGCCTCTCCTCTCACCTCAGGGCCCCACATCACACACAGGCCAGGGCAGGCCTTTCTAGGCATGAGCAAGTCAGGGGACCTCTGGGCTCCTCCCGGCTCCACTACTTACTCATGTCAAGCAAGTAACTTAACCTCGCTAGGCCTCAGCTCTCTATCTGTAAAATGGGACTAATAACTCCTACTTCACAGTCTTGAAGACTAAACAATGAAATGTATGTAAGCATGACACTATCAGGTCAATTGTGAAGGACTATTCCTCACCAGGGCCTCCTTGTTCTGAATCATCAGCTGGTCATCAATAGCCTTCTTCAGTCTCCTCTGACTCAGACCCTCCCCTACATGGTCTTCCCGCATTCCCTCCTCAAATTCCTTGAGCCCCGGCCCCACAACCCCCATGTTTCCTGCCTCCTCACATGGGCATAGGTGAGAACTCTGTGTCGCTGACCCGGGCACAGAAGCGGGCATGTACCAGCTGCAGATTGCTCTGACAGATCTTGTCTTCACCACAGCCTTGCTTTAGGAAGTGGATCTGAGAAGAGATTGCAGCCAAAGAAAGGACTGAATGTATCCCCAAGGTACACAGTGGGTTCGAGTGTTACCGAATTAAACTCCAGATTTGCTGCTTACTAGCTGGATGATATTGGACTCATTATCACTTAGCCACTCTGAGCTATAAAGTGATGGGTATGTTGTATGCTGTGGTGGAGACCAGCAGGCCAGTCCACAGGAGGACTGCATTTCCTCAGCCATGACTATGCTTCCAGGATTATAGGCCTAGAATGTAAAGGATGTGGTACATTCCCAACTTCTCAGGCTGCCCCTGAGGACCATTCAAAGAGCTGAATGTCCCACTTTCCACAGAATGGGAGGAAAATGATCTCATAACCTTGGAAGCTGCATTTGAAGATGACAAACCCACATCAACCTGGGACTGAGGAGCACCACCCCTCTGGACTATAAATGCAAGGTAATCTGGGCCATTTTACATCTTAGGGGCTACTTGTTACAGCATCTGATGACATGAGGATAACACTGGGGAAGAGCTTTGCGAGCAGTGTCACTGGTGAAGGATGAGTTGTCACCCTCCTAGCTCCTCTTCCCAAGCTCACCTCTGCCCGCTGAGTGCTGGGCTGATGGGCATTAAGGATGGGGGCCACCGGGGGTACCCCCTGGCCAGGAGCCTGTCGCCGGAGCCGAGGGTTCCGGAGACTATAGGACAAGGTCACCACAATGGCCCGAAGCTTGTCTTTGACATTCTCCTAGGAAGAGAAAGTTTGTTCCTCACTGTATCAACCCCCAGGTTCCAGCCTTGCCCAAGGTCCGAGCCAGACCTAGGACAGACTCTGAAACTTAGAAGTTTAGAGAGAGAGACTGCAGTAGAGAAAGACAGAGCCAGGATTTAGGGCTTTGAGGTCAGATGTGACAATGGAACCTGCCATCTCCACCTAAAGGGAGTGCAGGATTGACAGCAGTGAGGAGATGAGCTCAGGAGGGGGCCCCAGCATCTAGATCCCAGAACAAGCACTCACAGTGCTAGCACAAAAGCAGCTAAGAGCATGCAAGAAGAGAGAGGACCACTCAAGAGGCCAAGAACCAGTCTCTACCTGCAGCTGGAACATGGAGTCTCCACAGACTCGGTCATGCTGATGCTTGAGCCACACAGTCCCTGAGGCCTGGTGTTTGGGGTCATCTGGGCCATGGTTCAAGAAAGTCACACGGGGAACCTGTCCCCTGAGCCTCCTGTCTGTGTCCCCATCTAGCACGTAATCTAAAGCTGTGGTGTGTAGGGAAAGAGCCAGTGAGCTGCGGGACTCCTCCATTAGTCCATGTCCCCAAGATGCCCCCCCTCCACCCTGAAATCCCATGGGGTATGCAATAAGAGGGGACACCACTCACCCACAATAGGGCTGTAGCTGCTGGGGACTGCAGTATAGCTGAAACAAATCCTTAGGTCCACACTGTCAAGGAAAAGGAGTGGCTGCTGGGCCAAACAAGGCTGAGAGACCAAGACTCCAGCCCCAACCCCACACCCTCTTGCCATAGGCCAACACCCAGCCCCAAACAAGGCTGAGAAAGGGAATGTGGCAGCTTCTTCAGCCCACCTTCGGACCCCACCTCACCAGACAGAGTGGCCACCAGCACAGTTGGGTTGCTCTAGATCGATGACCCGTGGGGCAATGAAGACCTCATGGGAGACATGGAGGACAGGTCTGGCCCTAGGATTGTGGGTTGGGTCCAAGGGGCAGGAAACATGAGTATGTGAGTGGGATCTGAGTTCAAGACAGGGGCTGATGGCCTCAGGGAGGGGAAGGCAGAGCAGAGGAAAGACTCACCGGAAGAGCACCACAGTATCGGTGAGGGAACCCACCAGCAGGTCTGGGTAATGGTTTTCATCCACATCCAGGCCACCGGACAGAGAATAGCCAAAGCTCTTGATGCCCACAGCCTCACCCTCCAGCACCTGGGGACCACCAGTCAGCCTCCTAAAACCCCATCTCCTCCATGCCTCTCCCTCCCCTGCCCTTTTTTTTTTTTTTTTTTTTTGGTCTTTTTTTCCTTTTTATTGGTACCAGGGATCGAACTCACGACTGCCTGCTTGCAAGGCAGGCGCTTATGCCGCTGAGCTAAATCCCCAGCCCCCTCTCCCCTGCCCTTTTGTGGCTCTCACTCCACTCACACCCGTTCCCTCATCCCAACGATGTTCTTCACCTGTGAAGGTTTGATGACGACTCCCAGGCTGCTCCCATGGTAGATAAAGACTTTCCCATCTCCATCAAAAGGAGCTCCCACAGCAATGTCTGAGGGCCATGGGGAAAAGGCATTTCCCTCAGTCACTCAGTCCTGTATAATGTATTTTCTACCTTACTGAGCTACTACTACATCCATTATTTTCAATCCCCTTGGCCACTGTCTCCAGGGACAAAGGTCAATTAACTCACCCAAGGTCACAAAGCATGGGAAAATTCAGATGTGAGCCCAGGTTCCTTCTCTCCCTGACCCCTCAGAAGACCACCCCTCAGAAGACTCTCCTATCCCTCTGTGCCACCTCCTCCACTGAGCCTTTCCAGTTCCCATCCACACCTGGGAAGCCATCTTGGTTGAGGTCCCCCAGGACAGCCAGGCTGATCCCAAACATGGAGTCAGGAGAGCCACAGAGCCGGAGTGGTGAGACTCTTTCCCAATGACCGCCCTGGTTTATGTACAAATACACGGCACCACCCAGCTCTTCTTGGCGCTCAAAGTAGTAGGGTGCACCAACTATCAGGTCTGACCAGCTATGGAGAGAAGGAGACAGTTGGCAGGGTCCTCCCTGACCAGGGGAGTCAAGGGAAGATGCTAGCAGCCACTTCTATCTCCTGGATCAGCATGAGGTCCACTCCGTCCCCTCTCACCCATCATTGTTGAGATCAGCCACAGCCAGTGAGTAGCCAAAGCCAGAGGTCAGAAGCTCTCCTGAAAGCACAACTTCAGGCACCAGGCGACTGGCACTGTCCTTGCGCAGAATGACCACAGCACCCTTGTGGTTGGCACGGGGGGCCCCTGCCACAAAGCTCAGCTCATCTGCACGCACCAGACCCTTCCCAGAGTCAATGGAGAAACCTAGATGAGGGGGTGATTTCCCAGTGAGTGTTCCCCCAAGACTCAGAGGCCAGGTATGCCACAGGCCCCCAACGTGTCCCATCCCAACAGGGCTGGAGGCAAATGGTAGAGGTGCCCCCAGATCATCACTCTTCCTGCCTTCCTCCACCCACCCATCCCAGAGATTGGAGCTTGGTGTAAGTGTGATGAGGTGAGCCTCAGGGACTGGGGAGAAGAGAGAGGCAGCCATAGAGAAGTTCAGGCACCTGGGCAGGGAATAGGCACCAAGGCAGAAGAGGGTCACAAGCACTGGGTAACCCTCCAGTGCACATTCTCTGCCCTACTCCCACACCTCACTTGGATAGAGGGAGAAAGCAGGTCAGAGCTAGCCTCACCAGGCCTCGTTTTCTCCTCTGCAGAGCGACGCAGGTGAGACAATAGCCAGATCCCGCTCTCCCCTTAGAGGAAGTCCCCCCATAGGTCAGAACTGTTCAAGAGAGTCTCAGCCCTGTCCCTCTTACTACACGAGGATTTTTGTCCATGGAGACTCCCTGCTCACTGCCCCAAGGCTACCACCACGCTTGGGGCCTTCTCAGGCCAGGTCACTGGAAAAATTTTGCTCTGAATTTGGGCCCAGTATCTGTTTCCCAGGGTGAAAGGGCCATGGGGAAGGAAAGGAAGTCTCCCAGGGGAGGAAAGGAGGCCAGGGCCATGCCCGGCCCCAGAGGTGGAGTGTACAAACCTAAGTAGCTATTCAGGGACAAGTCTCCGGCTGGTCCCGGGAGCCGGTCAGCAGGGTCCAAAGTTTTATACACCAGCTGGTCAGGGTCTGAGCTATCAATGTTGGTCATAAAAAGCAACCCTGTGTGGGGCAGGAGGGGGGAAGACACCAGGGAAAGGACATCCAGAGAAGGGACCACAGAGTATGAGATAAAGCAGGACAGAGATGCCAGAATGTGGAAGAAGTATAGAGGTAGAAGAAGAAAATGAAAGAGACACAGAGACCACAGAGGTGAGAGAAGGAGTGAAAGACAGACAGAGACAGAAGGACGGGAGAATGGAGAGGGAGGACAAGAGAGAGGAGCAGAGGGTTAGAGTGGCTCCGGGCCCAAGGAGGGGTCCCTACCAAAGTAGCTGTTGGCAGGGACCGGGATGAGGCGGGGGTCTTGGTCCTTCTCGCCCCCCGCCTCGTAGGGCCCGTCGTCCAGGTGGGCCAGGTCCGGCGAGCCCTGCACACAGAGCTCCACCCTGGCTGTGCCTGCAAGGACATTTCAGTTAGTGCCCAGGGCAAGGAATAAGAAGCACCTGTTGGGCTGGATGCTGAATTAGATGGGCACACAGGGAAGCCCCACCTCGCCTTTCTAGAACCACCTCCACCCTCCCCCAGCCCAAGCATCCTGGGGTTGCTCAGACTAGCATCACACTCACCAAGTGGCAGCTCAGGCAGTGGCAGTGTGCAGAGACGGTAATGGCAGTGACGAGGTACGGGCTGTGGTGATGGAGCATGCGGGCTGGGCGGGTGGGCAGGCCCAGCCATGCACATGAGCGCTCATGCCAGCATGTGGAGGAACTCTTGGCCATGCGGAGGACAGGAGAGACCCCCATTTGTGTGTAGGCTAGCAGGACAGGATGGAAGGCATGGCAGTGCTCCAAGGCATATGAATGTGTGGTCATGTTTGGCCAAAGTGCTTCCAGCACCATTTCTCTTGTAGGAGGAGGTTTTGATTCCCTTCTCCCCTAAGCAGTGACTCACCCTTCCAGTTATAGGTTCCTGGAGCCCCAAAGAGGAGGTAATGGCTGTCAGGGGTGAAGGCAGCAGCCGTGCCCTGCTGGCAAAAGCCAAACTGTTCATGGCTCTGGGGGCGCCCCTCACAGAACTTCCATTCCCCACCATCCAGCTGATCTCGGATGGCCAGGTCCTGGCTTAACACAAAGCAGCGACCAATCACATCCCGTGTCTCCAGGATCTGGTCCACTCGCTGCCTTGATTCATATCGATGTGCACACGTCTGGGGAAGGGAGGAAAGGTCATTTCCTTTTGTTGCTAGGAACCTGCCCACTGCCACAGGCCGACACTTGGTAGACATACCTGCACCCACTTGTACACACACACCCCCCTCTATATCAGCATTACTTAAGCCCCACCACCCAGAAAGTGACAGCCTATTCAGTATCCCATCTGCGCCCACTGATTTGCTTATTTGCCTTTATAGGAAAATGTCCTTGTTCCACATTCTGGCTGGACACTCATTGATACATGAATAAGTTAGCCACAGGATACATCATCTCTGATCATATGACAATCCTGCAAGATGCTAAATTTGATCCTGTTCCTAGACCTTTGCATTTTGTTTTTGCTTTTGTTGTTTTTGCAGTGCTAGGGATAAACGCAGGGCCTGGCACATACTAAGCAAACACGCTACCACTGAGTTATATCCCCAATCCTTTTTTCTTATTTTGAGACAGAATTTTGTTAAGTTGCCTAGATTGGCCTTGAACTTGCCATCATCCTGTCTCAGCCTTCTAGGTAACTATGATGTACACCATGCCTGGCTCTCATCTAATCTTGATAGCCTGGCTCAAATCATCACATCTGCAGGAATTCTGTCTCTCCTCTTCTCCTTTGGACTTCCAGACCAAAGACTAGATCACTCTCAACTTAATGTTAATCATATTTGGCCCCACAGTGACTTGTGCTGTTAATTCCAAGTTAATGAAAGACAGAAAAAATGAGACACAAGAATCTCTGCACCATTTGGCAGGGACCAACCCTTCCTCTAGTCTTTACATATTCTCTCAGTAACTAGCACAATCCCTGATGCTGAAAAGGTTCTCAATAAGAGTTGGACAAATAGGGCTAAGGATTTAGCTCAGCGGTATAAGCGCCTGCCTGGCAAGCGGGGGGGGGGGGGAGAGTTGGACAAATAAGGAGTGATTATATGTATTCAAATTTATAAGGACAAGGATCATTTCTTATAATTTTTATATCCCATCAGACATACTGGGACTAGAATGTGTTCAAATTCATGTCCTATGAGTATATCTGTGCCTATTCACATACCACACACATCATCACCACCACCATCATCATCATCTTTGCATTCAGTCACAAGAAGTAGTACTCACAACAATCTTGCCCCCAGGTCCCTGGCTCCGCACACTGACTCCCAGCCACTGGTTCTCCTTGCTCTCCTTTTGCACATCAGCTGGAGGCAAAACACTGAGAATCAGAGAATAGAAAAAGAGGCCAAGTTCTCTCCTCCCTGCTAATGTGCATCCCCCTCCCTACCCCTCAGGGCCGCACCTCCCTGGTCAATGTCCACTCTGTAGCAGTCAGTCACTTCCAAGCTCAGAGGACAAGCAAAGAGGCCTCCAGTGCGATTCGCCTGCTGTCCAGGAAGAGCCAGGGCCTGGGGAGCACCCACCAGCAGCCTGCATAATGGGGCAGGACCCAAGTTAGAGGTCAAAGTGCTCCAACCTCCCCAGAGCTACCCAGGCTCCAAAGTAGTGTTTGAGGACTAAAAAGAAGGAGCAAAAGTTATTTTCTTAAACTCTAGCAAAGACAAATGAATACACTTGTCCATGCGATCAATCATGTTACACATTCGTATACCATTTGGATGAAGGACCAGATGTATAGTAAACACACATACAAATGTAAAGTCATGACAACAAGACTAGCCCAACAAGCCCTGCCAGTTTGAATGAACCGCCTGTCGATAGCACCTGTTCCTGACCAGGCCTTCCTACACGCTGCCTGGCCCCATCCCAGGCTCTGCCCTCCTCCCCAGCCCTGGTCCAGTTGAAATCCTGCCAGAAATGCCAGGAATTCTGGGAGCAAGAACAACAGGGGCCCAGACTGGCACCACAATGTGGCTCTGGGACCAGCTTCAGAGGCCGGGGAGAAAGCTAGATATGGGCCTGCTTCTTTGCTTCCCCCTCAGGGGCCCAGCAAAGACCCACCCCCACCCCAGCAGCTCTGCCAGCCAGGATGCTACCAGTCACTCTGGCAGGCATGGAAGTAGAAACCGGTTTCTCATTCCATCTCCAGTCATATCCCCAACCCCCTCCCCACATCCCAAATCCCATTCCCCATCCCTCTTCTTCCAACAGCCATGGTCCTCTTTCCTCCCATCCCCACCCCCACACCACCCCCATCATCATCTCTCCCACCTCCTCCTCGGCCTCTTTCCCAGCTACAGCTTTCTTGGCAGGACAATTTTCCATGATCACAGCCAAGCCATCTTCCCCAGGGGAGGCATGCGCTGGGAATGGAGGCTGCCTGGGTCCCCTGAGGCTGAACCCCCAGGCCAGGAGTCAAGAAATGGATGAAATGAGATGACTGACACCCAGCTGACTACATGTGTCCTCTCTGTGCAAAAGGAGAGACTCAAAAGGGGCAGCAGGACAAACTTCATAGCCTCTCTCCCACCCTTTTCTTCCATCTCTCTTCCTGACGGGTAAAGACCAAAACTGTCAGGGAATATTACAGCCAGGCATCTGTGGGGCACTCAGCCAGGTTTGAAGGGTGAGGGGGAAGGCACAGAGTCATTCTCTTTCCCACAACTCCTCATCTCTCAGCAGCTGTCATCCCCTGTCAGAGCCAGTGTCAAGAGAGCGAAGGGGGATGGGACAAGTGAGGAAAAGAACCTAAATTCAGCATTCATTTAACAACTACAATCAAGCAAGGCATGATGGCACATATCTATAACCCCAGCTACTCAGGAGACTGAGGCAAGAAGATTGAGAATTTTAACCCAACCTGGGCAATTTAGCAAGACCTCATCTCAAAAAATAAAAATAGATTTTAAAACTATTTCTTAACACCTTATTATAAGCCAAGCCCTGTGTCCAGCACTAGTGAGACAAGAAAGTGATATTGATTTAGTAATGACTATGGGTTGGGCCCATGCTAGACACAAGGGACATAAGGAAATAACATTCTTCAGTCTCCATATAGGCCAGGCAGCCGGCAAGTCAAGTAACATGCACCCTCTCATTTGAACTTCATGACAATTCTATGAGATAAGGATTCCTTTCTTGTCTTCCACATGAGCAAACTCATTCAAAGATATGAAGTAGTTATGCTGGAATTCAAACCCACATCCGCCTGGCCCCACTATGTCACCACACACACACACACACACACACACACACACACACATACACACACCCCATGATGACTGGATTATCCTCAGAACACTGAGATTCTCGAACCTGGTGGGGCATCCCTGGTGGGACATCAGGGGTTAGGGTTCCCGTAATGATCCTCTGACTCTCTTTAAGTCCTTGCCCTCACTCCAGCGAAGAATGAAGAAGTGGGGCGCTTATCAAGAAACGGGGAGTCAAGACTGATACGGTACAAAGTAAAAATTGATTTAAAGTGTGGCAAATGCAGAGAAAGCTATCTAGGGGCTGGGGATTTAGCTCAACGGCATAAGCGCCTGCCTTGCAAGCAGGCAGTCCCTGAGTTTGATCCCTGGTACCGATAAAAACAAACAAAAAAAAAAAAAAAAAAGAAAGAAACAGCAGAGAAAGCTATCTTAGTGGCTGAACGGTACTGCAAGATAGAGGGCATCCTGCCTGGAATGCCCAGTGAGTTAAGGGTGTATTTCAAACTTTTAGGGGTAAGCTGGTTTTTTAAAATAACTGTTTTGGGCTGGGGATTTAGCTCAGCATCGTAAGTGCCTGCCTGGCAAGTGCAAGGTCCTGAGTTTGATTCCTAATACCAAAAATAAATTAATTAATTAAATAACTGTTTCCCTGATTGGTATGGGCTGGCCCAATCAGGCCTTAGCCTTTGTTTCTGGGAAAGGGACAAGGTCAGCATATAGTATGAGTAACATTTTCGTAAGAATACAGTAAGGTACATTTCCTCAAACACATGGTAAACGTGACAATTTTACCATGTCAGCCACAGATATGTATGTGATCATTTTACAGTGTTAGATATGGGGTTTTGCACCACGTTTTTTTTTTTCCTCTATGTCCCTCTAATCCGCCCCTACTAGACTACTCCATAAAAAGAAGAAGAAGGAAAGAGGAGGGTACTCAGGGGTTAAAAGGACCTAGGTGACACAGCCCTATGCCTACGGCTGTCAGTCTTCAGACAAGTCAGCAGCACCCCTGCCTTCAAACAGTACAGAGCATCTCTTTGGGAGACTTGGCATGTATTATCTATCTTATTATTTCCTGAACCCACACCCTATGTGAATGCACAGAAATGTCTATCAGAGACGCTCAGTGCATCTCAGCTGATCAGCACACAGCTGAGCATCCTAGGAAGCCAAAGAGTTCCATGCTCACATCTCTGCTGCAACCCAAGAGTAGAAAGACAGCAGAGCCAATGTGGAGGAAGGAAACTAAACTTGTAGACAAGTCCAGCCCCATTTTAGTGGAGAAGAAACCAGCCACTTCCTCCTGGAACCAAAGATCCCTCACACAGCCTCCCCAGCCCCTCCACTTCTGCCCCAGGTCACATCCTTCTTCCTGGCTTCATCCACGAGCCCTGCCACCTCAAGGATCCCCCAACAGAACAGCAGCTACAATTGCAGCCACCACAGAGAGGAGAAAGAAATGTTGGCAGCTGGGATCCCCCTAAGTGTAGATGAGGCAGTAACCCACTACCACTGCACCTCTTGACTCTCCACACAAACCAGAGCTCCAGCTCAAGTCCAGCCCCTCTCTGACCCCTTCAGTCTGGGTGGCCTGCTGGGAAGGCCGCTTGGGGGGGGGGCGCCTATGGGCCTTCCTTGGATCCAGGACACAGTCAGGCTAAAGCTGCTCTCCCCTCTGTGAATCACCAGTAGAGAATAACAGTATTTCATAGTACGATCACCACTTGCTTTCACAGCTTTGCTTTATTCTACGGGTTTTACATATATTAAAAACGCTTAAAAAAAAAAAAAAACGCTTACTTCTGGGAAAAAAAAAAAACAAACCCTGTGTGGTGGTTCTATTATTTATGGCCATTTTACACTGGATGGAAAGAAATGAAACTGCAACCACAGTGCAAGGTCAGACCTCAAAATCTCATCCAAGGATGTCCACTGTCTCCACGCTTACTCAGTATAGTCCTGGAAACCTTAGCTGGAGCAATTAGACAAAAGAAAAAAAATCTCATCCAGAGGCTAAACTGAAGACAGGAAAGGTCTCTCTATCAGGGGAGGCTAAGGAAGGCAATCACAGTTGAAACGCTAGGCATCCAGCAAGGTACCTGACTTTCCAGTGCCTCCAAGTGGTAGAGCGCCCCCTGCCGGAGCAAAGATAGGGTTAGGTAGTTTGGCCCCTCAGAGAGTGCCCCCAGTTTGGCTCCGGGAGACAGAATCAGGGGCCACCTTCAGAGACGAAGGGGAAATGACAAGAGACCAAGCTATTAAAAATAACCTAGAATTTGCCTGGAAATAGCTCAGAGAGTTCAGCATGTCCTAAAAAGGCCTCCAGTCATGGAACTCTGGCAGATGGAGGAAGGAGGGAGGGGAAAAAAGGAGTGAGGGAGAGAGATGAGGGAGGAAGTGAGCAGCAGAAATGAAGTCAGTTAACTTTCTATTTCCTCCGAAGTTTTAGGGGCAACAAATCCTACTCCCAGAAAACAGAACAATGAAAGGCTAAAGCTAGTCCCTACCTCCAGTGGGCCACGAGAAATGTGCTCTTGTCCCTGCCCTCTGCCTTCAGGCCACCAGGATAAGGAAGATAGTCCCATTGGACAGCATTGATCCCAGTAATGGACACTTAATGTGGCTTAGGCACCAGCTGAGGAAAGAGAAGCCCCCTGGCAGGAGGGGACAGGAAGCTTTCTTCTTTTTCTCTTTTTACAGAGTCAAAGGTACAGGAGGCCTGACCAGCCACAGGCCCTACCCAACTGTGCCCATCACCCAGGGGTCCTGAACCTATGAGACCTAGCACTGTCCTCTGCCCCTCACTTTTCCCAGCCTCTGCTGGGAAATTTCCTGGATTGGAAATTTCCTAGGGAAGAAAGGAAGAAGCCTGGCCAGCATCTTTCCTGCATCTCACTGCTGCTGCTGACACTACTGCTACCACTTAAGGCCACTCTCTGCACTAAACCATGTGCTCAATTCTGCAGCACATATGCCAAACCACCACTGCCCAATCCCAGGTCTTCTCCCAATTTCCCTGCTGTCCTGAGCCACTAAAGTGGCAGCCGCTCTCTCCTGCAGCCTTCAGGCTACCCCGTGGTGATGCCCAGGCAGGAAATTAGCTCTGGAATCTACCTGCTGTCCCTCCCATGGCCCCACATCCTCTCTGTCCCTTCTATCTCCTCCCTGCCCTCAGCAGAAACAGAATGGTCCATCTTCTTCCCCAGAAGAGTGAGTAGCCTTCTGCTGAGGAGAGGTCAGAGACCCTGGGGCTTCGGCAAAAATACAAACTGGGGAGAAGCCAGAGGAGATGGTTCCTTGCCAAGAGCCTTGCTCTCCAACCACCCCTCATAGATCTTGGAACTCAGGACCTGAGTAGGAGTAGGCTATATACCCAAAACAGAGGAGGCAAAGCTCCGGGTAGAGTTATGGAAAGACAAAGTGAGCCAGGCATGGTGGCTCACGCCTGTAATCCCAGCACTTGGGAGGCTGAGGCAGGAGGATCCTTGGGAGTTAGAGACCAGCCTGGGCTACAAAGTGAGCTCAAGGCCAGCCTGAACTGCATAGAGAGACCCTGTCTCAAAAAGACAAAAAAAAAAAAAAAAAAAAGACAGATGAAGTGGCCAGGTAGGGGAGGAGATTGGGAAGGGTCATTTATGGATTGAGCTGGGGGATCTGGGCGCGAGCGGTGACTCACCAGCTCTGTGGCTGGGGCTGTAACTGCCGGTGCAGTGCCACAGAGAAACCGAAGAGGCTGCCTGGCTCACCCTCCTTGCGCAGGGCGCTCATCACGTCCAGATTGAAGGCGACAGCGCGTGGGAAGAGCAGTCCAGCAAACAAAGCACCAAGAAGGGAGCAAATCCCGGGAGCCCCCCAGGGATCGTAGTTCCGACTCCGGGCCATGGGATGAATCCCGCACGCGGTCTCCGCCAGCGCAAGGAAACTGTCGCGCTCCCGGGTAGCGCGCCCGTGTATCGGCTGTCCCCCAGGCGCGTCGGTGCTGCCCAGGTCCCGCGGTCTTGCAGAGGTCTTCCAACCTTTCGTCCCACCACCCTCCCTCTTCAGCTCCTTCCCCGCCCCAGCACCCGCTAGGACAACTCTACCGGGGAGCTCCGCGTCCCCGCCGCGCGCCTCCTCCCGCCCCGCCCTCGGCCCCGCCCCCGCCGCCGCAGGTGGAAACTCAGCCCGCCAGACCGCCAGCCCGCCAGGGAGAGATGCGCGGACCAGCCTGGAAGGGCACTGCCGGCCTCCCGCTGCAGCGCTTGGCACTGCGATGTCCTCCACGGCCCCCAAACCCTAAACTGAGGTGGGAGGCGCCTAGGAAAGGGCAGGAAGGGAGGCGCGCAGACAGAGAGGAGCCTGAACTGGGAGAGTGGGAGAGAAGTGCAGAGAATGAAGGGCAACCTGGAAGAGAAATTCGTGGACGAAACGGGAGGAAAGGACAAGAGGGCCGTCCTTAACCTGGGTCTAGTGTGGTCTGCTCTCCCCAGGGTCCATAGTGCACCCCTTAATTTGGAATCAAACCCCTCCCAAAGTGCCAGAGCCAGTCAGTGACAGCCGCGATGCTGCCCACAGTCAAGGAGAGCAGAAAGAGGAGGGGTAGAGAGGGAACAGTCAAGGAGGCCTGGAAGGTAGCCCATGGAGAGGCAGAAAGAAAAGGAATGGAGGAGAAGGAGGACATGAGCATGATCAACAGGGACTAGAATGCAAGGAGAAAGCCAGAATAAGATCAAAGGCAGTATAGAAAGAGCAAGTTAAACTGGCGAGGAGGAGTGGGTGGAGGGTGTCAAAGAAGGGCAAATATGCAAGAGGCTGGGCCCCAGAGACAGGGGCAGAACGCCTGTCTCCAGCTTCCAGACCTTTGGCAGGACTGGACATTTCCCATGCACCAGGACAGGCGTGGACTGCAGGGGCAGAGGCCTGGGCAGGCTCAAACCGGAGCTGTGTGGTGCAGAAAAAGATCTCCACAAGGACCCAATGGCCTGTCTCTCTTCCTCTCCCTTCCCCCCAGAGTGGGACAGAAGGAATGGGAAGGGACTTTTTTTGTGTTTTTTACATTTTCCAATTCTCTATTTATAGCTCCAATCTAGAAATGAGGCTAAGAAGAGAGATAGAAAATAAATTTATCACAACTGGAGTGCTGTTGGCTCCCATTTTCCTTATTACTTCCCTTTCTTGGTGGCTGTTGGTCCTATATGTCCATTCTCATTCTCTCCCCCCCACCTCGCCTTTTTGTCATTCTAAATCCCCCCCACCCAGTTTGTCTCTGTCACACTTGAAATCATTTTCAGACTTTTTCTCAATGTCCCTGTCTCTGTCTTTCAAAAGTTTCTTGTTGTTGTCTGTTGTTTGTCTTTTTGAGACAGGGTCTCACTGTGCAGTTCAGGCTGGCCTTGAGCTCATTTTGTAGCCCAGGTTGGTCTTGAATTGGCAACAATCCTCCTGCCTCAGCCTCCAGAGTGCTGGGATTACAGACATGCGCTGCCACCCCTCAAATGTTCTCTTATTCTTATGATACTCTCTTCTTTCCTAAAAAGCTCCAGTATGTGTCCTACATAACTCTTCTTCTCATGTTCCCATTATCTGTGTTTTGAGGTTTTGCTTTTGTTTTATTTTGTTTTGTTTTGTTTGAGACAGGGTCTCACTATGCAGTTCAGGCTGACCTTGAACTCACTATGTAGCTAGGCTGGCCACAAACTTGTGGTGTTCCTCTTGCCTCAGTCTCCTGAGTGCTGGGATTACAGGGATGCACCAGCATTTCCACCTCCCTTTGTTTCTCTCACCTCTTTGTTCTTTTATTTTCATTTTTATTTTTATTAGTACATGTTGGCAATACATAAGAATCACATTTCTTATGAGGAGTTGGTACACGTATACAACACACCCACCTTAATTCTTTTCTATTGCCTTTTCTCCTCTCCCTTGGGATTATAATTCTTGAAGAAAAAATAAACAAACTGGTGGTCCTAGAACAATCCTGCCCCAGAATTACTTGATGCTTTGCTCCTCCATTTTGTTTTTGTTTTTGGGTTTTTTTGTTTTTTGTTTTTTGGTTTTTGTTTTTTTTTTTTTGTTTTTTTTTTGTCTTTTTGAGACAGGGTCTCTCTATGCAGTTGAGGCTGGCCTTGAGCTCACTTTGTAGCTGGTCTCGAACTTGCAACGATCCTCCTGCCTCAGCCTCCCGAGTGCTGGGATTACAGGCGTGAGCCACCATGCCCGGCTTGCTCCTCCGTTTATACTTCACCTATGCACATCCTCCCCAGGGCAGCATCACACCTGTAAACAGGTGCTCAGGGGAAACACATTGCTGACCGAAGGCCTGGCACCAGCATGGCACTACTACTGCCACTGACTCCCAAAGGTTCCCTTTTCATCTTTTTCTATCTCAGCATCTCAGGCAGTAGAAAGGAGCTAATATATGAATGCAGAGGTGCAAAATCAGGAAGAAAGCCAGGACTCTTGACTCAAAACCCAGACCTCTGACCTGGTCCAAATGCCTCCAGATCCCCAGCTGCATTCTTGTTGCACCTACAGGTCCTGCCAGCCTGCTATCCACAGCACTGGCTGCTGAGAAACCCAAGGCTGAAATCAGATGCCAAGATTCTGCTTCTGACTCCCTCTGTCCAAATATTTGAGAAGTCACCTCACCCGCCACAGGAGGAAGGAACAGAAAAGAGGAGAGACTGGTCACCCAAAATTAGCCTGGCTAAAAATAGTGGGGCAAGGGCAGGCAGGGAACAGACAAGAGCATCCGATCAACCTAGTAAATACAGACAAGTAGGTTTCCCCTAAAAGGGAACTGAGACCTAATGTTGGATAAAAAGTAACAATATAGGGTGGGGGGATGTAGCCCAGCAGTCTAGCACCTACCTGGCAAATGTGAGAACCTGGGTTTGATTCCCAGTACAGAAAAAAAATTGTATTCATAATAATATAGATGACAGGGAAATGAAAACACAGGAGTGAACCATAGAGGAAGCTTAACATAAAAAAAAAAAAAAAATCTGCCAGAAAACTTATTGTGTTGTGTCAAGAGCTTAAAAATAATTAAATTAAAAACCAATGCTCAAAAAAAAATAAAATAAAATAAATAAAAAACCAATGCTCAGCCAATGTGGTAGCAAAAACCTGTAATACCTGCAGTCAGGAGGCTAAAATAGGAAGATCACAAGTTCAAGGCCACCCTGGGCTAGACAGCCAGTTCAAGACCAACATAAAGTACAGAGTGAGGCCCTGTCTCATAAGTAAAAATAAAAATAAAAAGCAATGCTCAGATTAAAGATGTGGCTTGCCTAGCATATATCAGATCCTAAGTTCAACCCACCATATGGGGTGGGACATGCTGATACTGCATTATTTCACTCATGTAACATTCTAAAAATGACAAAACTATTTAGAAATAAAGAACAAAATATTGGTTGCCAGGGGACCAAATTTGGGGAACAAAGATAAAATGAAAGCATAAGAGAGTTCCTTCATGGTAATAAGCTCTGTATGTTGGTTATAGGAGTGGTTATCTGAATTTGTACATGGGATAAAACTGCATAGTGGTGGCACACACCTGTAATCCTAGCACTTGGGAAGCTGAGGCAGGATCTGTGAGAATTTAAGGCTAACCTGTGCTACACAGTGAGTTCAAGGCCAGTCTGATCTACACAGCAAGTCCCTGTCTAGCTGGCTGGGGATATAGCTCAGCAGTCCAGTGCCTGCCTAACAAGTGCAAGGTTGTGAGTTCAATCCCCATAGCCCCCCCCCCCAAAAAAGAGGCCCTGTCACAAAATTTAAAAAGAAGAGTTCTGCATACCAATGTGGACCTCCTAATTCTGACACTATACTCCCAGTTACATACCATGTCCCTCCCCCTTGGAGGATGCTGAATCAATGACATGTTAGACCTCATGCACTATTTTTTGCAACTTCCTCTGAGTCCCACACCATTTCAAAACAATTTCAAAAATTAAAAATTGTGAAATGCCCAGATCCAGGAAAGACTTTGGCTTTTATCTGAGTGGAAACTAAGGCTTTCTCCAGTCCTTTCTCCTGCTGACACTTCCTTCCCCTTTCTCCGCTAACTTCAGCTCCCCCAGAATCCCAGTTCAGAGCTCTCAGAAACAGGCACTTGCTTCCACAACACCTACGTGCTGAGGGTTAACTTCTCTCTCCAACTCATCTGGCAATGGGAGTTTGAAGTGTGTGTGCTCCAGGCTCAGGCTCTCACAGCTCAGCACACACACCATCAAGATTTTCTCACCCCACCCACCTCTCCAGCAGGAGACCCTTCCTGCCTGCCTCTGAATTCTGGCTGTATCCAGAGCCTAAACTGTGGGAGTGGCTAAGAGATGAACATAAATGTGACTGAAGAGTCCATGGGGAAACGGCTTGACCACCCTGGTCAAGCCTTTGAGGTTCTAAGTGAAACCCTCAAGTCTCAAGGAGAGGATCAGGAGGTCATTTCCCACAGGGCGCCTTTTAGCCGGTCATCAGGGCCCCTTTTCTTTGAATCCTGGCTTCAGTCAACATTTGGAACTTGGCCACCCCACAAACAGCCCCCTCCCTTGAAGCCTCGCCAGATTTCCCAGCGTGTGAAGCCTTCTCCTCTCCCTCATCTCCCACAGCCCTCACCCAGCCCCTAACAACTCAGCAGCTCCCAGCTTAGCCCTGCAGCCAGTTTGGAGTTTGCTAATTAAACGAACTCTGAGAGAGACCTCAATAGGGAAAAAGAATAGAGAAAAGGAGAATAGTGTTACATTCATTCTTTCTAAGAGAAAATAATCTGGGCGGCCTTGGTAGGGAGAGGTGGGCAGAAAACAGATCTCAGAGTTCAAGCGTCTCAGGATATGCATGAAACTTGTGCCCATCTCAACCAGAGGCAAGTGGAGCTGAGCTTCAAAAACAGAAACAGGCAGATAGTGAGCAATGAGGGCCCAGGACAAGACTAGATGGAAGATGTCCCCAGAGAGAACAGCTAGCGTTCCCAGCTATAAGCCACTGCCCAGCTCTAGGAAAAAGATCAGCCAGTGTGTGGCAGAGGAGGGCAGGGCTGATGTCTACAGATTCCAGGCAGACTCAGATTCCAGGCAGACTCTGCTCTGATAGTGAAAATGTCAGGGAGGTGTCCCAAGGGGGCAGGCACAGCACAGCATGGACCTGACACTGTCCTCCAGGGGCCTGTTCTTTCTGCACACTCAGCCCTGAAGCCTCAGCACCAACCCCTTTTGTGAGCCTCAAACCTGCATTTCATTTGTCCAGGTCACCATCCTACCACACCCTGCCAATACCTGTCCTTCTCCAGGCCACACAGATCTGGGAGTGAAACCAGGCAGGCATCTTCCAAGTGCCTGTTTTGCTTGCTCACTGTGGTTGGAAGCCAGAGGGGAGGACTGGGCCAAAAGGCCTGGTGATGTTCTCGCTCTTCCCGCTACTATTGATCACCCTTGCCCTGCAGCACAGCTTCTTCTCAAATGCTCCCCACTGCTGGGATTCCCTTCTGCTTATGCCCAAACAGCTAGCAGGGCATGGTGAGGAGTCAGGGAGCTGCCCTGGTAGGTGCTCCCTGGCCTCCTCTTCTGGGGGCTCTCCATGGCTTCTGCAGTATAGTGGGTTTATACTCAGGCTCTGGACTCAGCTTGAATTTGTATCTTAGCTCTATGACTTATGAACTCTACTGCCTAACTGCTCTGTATGTCAGGTGTGGTGGTACATATCTGTAATACCAGCACTTGGGAGGCTAGGCAGGAGGATCCCCATGAGTTGGAGCCCCACCTGGGTTACATAGGAGTTCAAAGCCAGTGTGAACTACATACTGAAACCCTGTCTCAAAGAACAAAGCACAAAATAAAAACAAAAAAAGTATTGTTCTAGAGACTAAATGAATTAAATTATCGGAACTGCTTGATCTATTGGAAATAATCAAAATGTTGGGGAAAATGTTCACAATATGCATATTAGCATAGAGAAACACAGTCTAACATTTTTGTTTAGGTTTGTTGTTTATTTTGTTTTGAGACAAGGTCTTGCTATATAGTCCAGGCTGGGCTCAAACTCAAAGCAATCCTTCTGTTTCAGCCTCTCAAGTGCTGGCATTACAGATGCCACTACACCTGACAATTTCGATTTTTGTGTTTATGTGTGTGTGTGCATTGTGGGTCAAACCCAGGCCCCTGGACATACAAGGTAAGCAAGCTACATACCAGCCCATATTTAAAATTTGGCACTTAGTGTTCTGCTTTAAGCCTAACCATTTCATGTGCTTTTTCTCACTCATGTTTTAATGTCTGTACCTCTCACAGGATTTAGAGCACTATTTTATTAACAGATGAATGAGTAACTGATCACTAGTTCTCACTTTTATTCAGAAAATTCAAAATAATTTATTATAATTCAATCAGCACTCAATTCTCCTCCTCCTGCTAGAGGATATACTAAAGTTAATTTCAACTATGAGTTGGGCATGGTGGCACACACCTGTGACCCCAGTGCCCAGAAAGCTGAAACAGGAAGATCACTGCAAGTTCAAGGCCAGCCTGGGCTGCACAGTGAGTTCAAGGCCAGCCTACAGAATAGTGAGACCCTGTTTCAAAAAACAAAACAAAAACTAAAGTGAAAATCTCAACTATACCACTTAAGACTCAAATGAGTAAATGCCAAAAGGAACAGTCTTAGGTATGCTTTAGGTCAGTGATTTTCAGGCTCAGAAGCACATGAGAATCACCTGAATAACTTTTTAAAAATACTGATGTTCAAGCTCCACTTCTCAGAGAATCTATTTCAATCTGGGATCAAAATTTTGCTTGTTTGTAGACAGTCTTGTTTTATACAGTTCAAGCGAGCCTTGAACTCACTATGTAGTCCAGACTGGCCTCAAACTCCTGGTGATTCTCCCTCAGCCTTGTAAATGCTGGATTACAAATGCCTAGCCCAAAGCATTTCTCTGTCATGTGAATTTAGCCAGAGCTGAAAACGATCAAATCCAATCTCCTTATTTTACTAAATGGAAATCCATAACGGGTGAGCAAACTGCTCAAAGTTATTCAGCCTGTTACGGGCAAGACACTTCTTGAGCAGAGCGTGGTGACGCATGACTGTAACGGTAGCACTTAGCAGGCACAGGCATAAATAGCGCTGTGAGTCTGAGGCCAGCCTAGGCTACATAACGACATAGTGAGTTAAAGGCCACTCTGAGCTACTTAGCAGAGCCTATCTCAACCTCTCTCCAAAAAAAGACCACCAAAACTAAGCACATAGGTATGTGCAGAAAAATGAGTTTGAGGTCAGCCTGGTTAACCATGCAAGACTTCCATGAAAAAAAAAAAAAAAAAAGCACCAACAGGCATTGTAGCAATAGCAATATGTTGACTATGTCTATAATTTTTTTCGGTTGGAATTACTTCTGGAAGCATTCTTGTTTAGTTCAAGGAGGCATTGTATAATTCACCTTTTACTTTGACAGAAGCACTTAATGCTTCTGTTAAGACTAATTGGGTTTGCATTCCCTGACCACAAAAGGACAGAGATGGAATTGTACATTTCCCACACGCAGCTCGCCAAATTAGCAAAGCTCCCTAGAAGGCCCCTTGAGTGCCTAAAATGCTTCTCTACAGTGATCACCCAGAGCTGATAGACCTGGCGGGGCAGCCAAAAGCGAAACGGCTGGAAGAGAGGAAAGCACTCTGTTCTAAGGGACAGGGAGCTGGGAATCAACTGAGAATCAGCAGCACTGCCAGAAGGTAAAACCAGAGAAAGAAAAGAATTTCAATGAGCTCAGGAAGCCACTGCCAGAACAGAACTGAGGAACTCTCTGGCAACACCAACCCTGCCGGGGGGGGGGGGGGGGGGGTCTCAAAGCCACAGAGATGTTAAAAACTGGTTCTGCAATACAGGAACTGAGGAACACTAACTCCAACTCTCAACTAAAAGCGAGCTGCCAATAACAAAAAGAGCTCACCGGCCTTGCCAACGCCTCTCCTCCCAAATATCCACACAACCAAACGCCTCTCCACTCTGAAAGAGGGCGGTCCTGTCCTCACGTGACGCCGCAGCCACGTGACCCGCCCAAGGAGCCGGCGCAGTCCGGTCCAGCAGCTGCAGGGTGGCACGCCCAACCCCCAGCCCCAAGCCACCATGCTGTCCCGCCTGCTCAAAGAACACCAGGCCAAGCAGAACGAACGCAAGGAGCTACAGGGTGAGCGAAAAGTCCTGTCGGCTTCTCCGGCCGCGGCCTAGCTTCAGTACGGAGCCTGGACCTCAAGTACCTGCGCAGATCCAGGGTGGGCGCGTGTAGAGGAGAAGGGATTGGGGGCTGCTCTTTGGGAAGTTCTGTCCCCTTGTCTTAGGGACCTTCACTCTCTAGTCCCCTTGGCAACTCCCCCAATTCCCGTGCAAGCGTGGCCCTAGCTCCGCCCCTTGCCCCTGAGACACCGTGCCAATTGGTCCGGGGAGCCGGGGCCTGGAAGCGGAAAGGAACGCCCCGCGGCGAGTGAGTCTGGGCAGCTCGGAGACTGCGTTCCTGAGAGGCCTAACGCCACCGAATAGGAGATGGAAGCGCTTCTCTCCTTAATGTAGACTGGGAGTCCCAGGGTTGCCCATCCTTTGGCTAAAATATTGGAGAGAGTGCCTAGAAGTTAGGAGACCTGGGCACACCACGACTCGGCACCACCGGAGGAGTTTTCCCCTCTCAGGGTATCGGTTTCCTCATCTCTAAAGTGAAAGGGATTGCATTGTGTTCCGAAAGGACATTTCCAGGTCTGGCATTTTGAATTTAGTTGAATGTCCTGGGAACTAGCAGAATAATAATGGCAAGGCCTGGGGATTTAGCGCAGCGGCATAAGCGCCTGCCTTGCAAGCGCGCAGTAGTGAGTTTGATCCCCGGTACCAAAAAGAAGAAGAAGAATGGCATAAGTGGGAAAGAATTAGCACTACCACCTAAGAAACAAGGGTTCACGCCAATACCTTTCCTCCCTCCCTCAGAAAAAAGAAGACGAGAAGCCATCACTGCAGCGACCTGCCTGACAGAAGCTTTGGTAGACCACCTCAATGTGGGGTATGAGCCTCTTCACAACAACAGTTACCTCCCTCACGCATCCCCAACTCCAGTTAGGCCTTAGCAAAGTGTCAGAGCCTGGGGCTGTTCTTGAGGCTTGGGTCATGTGGAACTTTATGAGAGAAGCTTGAATCAGCTCTGACCACTAAAGCTAGGTGAGGAGGGAACAGCTGCAGTGGTCAGAGAAGCTGCCAGATTCCCCCCACACACACACACACATTAAGTTCCTGGCACTTACAATGTGATGCCATCTGCCCACCTCCTTTTACCATTCCAAATCCAGCTGTCACTTGGGCAGGAGGGGAAACACCCTCCATTTTATCACACTCTTCTCTTCCCACCCTGTGGCAAGCCAGGAGAACAGCTGGCAGGAAAGAGATGGCACAGCTGGTGAGGGTGAGAGTAGAACCTGTGCCAGGAGCTGTGGCAGAGCCAGGCTGTCTCTTCTTTCTGGGCCTCCGGAGACCTCCCTTTTCCCCAGCCCTAAATCAGAATGCCAATAATAGCCAATAATAGAGTTAGGAAGAAACAAAGTTGTCTCTTGACTCTGCATGTGACTCAGAAGAGTGCAGAGATGATGATTTGATAGGCTGCTGGAAGAAAGGAGGCAGTGTGGTGCATTCCACCCCAGGGCAAGCAGAACAGCCTGGTTGTGAATCCAGAGACTGAGTCATCAGAGGAGGTCATACAAGGACTGGGGTCATCGTTGCTCATCTAGAGTAAACTGGGAGAAAGAAAGGCTGCAGTTCAGGACCTGGGGGACCCCACCCACCCACATGGGTCCCCACTGGACTCCGCTGTGCCATCATTTGTGAGGTTAGCTTAGGCTTCTCCCTCTTCTATTCCTTTGCTAGAGGATACCCCACTTTCCACAGAGGGCAGCTAACACAATACCAGATTAGAAAGGGTTTTGTTTTGCTGCCCACAGCTCCTTTTATTCCCCAGTAAAGAAAACAAAGGCTCAGTCAGTCTTGACCCTGATCAGGTGTCCTGCCCACTCTCTTGACCCCTTCCCAGCCCCTTGCCTCCTTCAGCCCCCACACATTCCAGTGGCGGGGGCCACCGGATGTAGGTCTCCTGGCTGACCTAGAGCTTTGGGGTGGGGAGTGAAAGATTCATGGGCCAATAAGGCAGAACAATTATGGAAGAGGGAGGTGCAAAAAAGATTGGTGGAGGATTGAGGATACCACCCACAGGGTCCAAATGGTAAGAGCTGCAGCACCTTGATTGAGAAGGAGCAGAAGGGAGGGAATCTGTGTGTTTGCTCATCTGTGTAGGATAGGCCAAAGGACAAGGCCTGGGAAAGAGCCAGGGAGAAACCTCTGGGACAGCCTCTCTTGACCGTTTTTTGGGAGGGGTTTGCTCTCTTATCCCACCCGAGATTCAAGAAAGGCTTCATTTCCCCTCCCAACTTCTTGCACAGATCCCTAGGCTCACAATCACTGCCAGATGTGTCCTGGCTACAGGATTTTCCCAGCATCGCCGCACCTCCTTTTCCCTCCCAATTTTTTATTCAGGGATACCCCACCCCCGGGTTAAATTCCCCACCCCCCACCCAGTTGCAAGAATTACTTTGGGGGATAAGGAAGGGTGTGTTTTTAGTCTGCTCCCAGTTTGGCTCTCCTGGGAATCCTGGGAGTGGAGGAAGGAGCTGGCTTCATTTGCATGTATACTAGTAGTTATTTGCATCATGTCCTAGAAAAGCCAGAATCACAATGTTTTAGCCAGCCCTGACTCCTGGCTGAAACTAGGGAATATTGTCCAGAGTACCAAGCCTATTGGATGAGCTAACCTCCCCACTCCTCCAATCATAGTGTGGCCCAGGCCTACATGAACCAAAGAAAGCTGGACCATGAAGTGAAGACCCTGCAGGTCCAAGCTGCCCAGTTTGCCAAGCAGACAGGCCAGTGGATCGGGATGGTGGAGAACTTCAACCAGGCACTTAAGGTGGGCCACACTTCCGACATCACTACTCTCATCCAAGCTCTCATTGGCTCCCTCAGACTTTGTTTAAGAAAGAACGGGGGCTGGGGATTTAGCTCAGCGGCATAAGCACCTGCCTTGCAAGCAGGCAGTCGTGAGTTCGATCCCTGGTACCGATAAAAACGAAAAAAGACCAAAAAAAAAAAAAAAAAAACCTCAAGAAAGAAGTGAGGGTTGGTCCCAAATACCCAGTCTATGGTCCCCAGTGTCAGAGAAGCCAAAGAAAGAAATGAAGGCTGGGTTTGGGGCATAGTTCAGTGTGCAGAGGTTGGCTCCCAGCACCACTACAACAACAACAACAAAGTTGCTCAATATGTCCAGTTTGAGGAGGCACACACATGTGGTCCCAGCTACTCAGGAAGCTAAGGCGGTAAGGTCACTTGAGCTCAGGAGTTTGAGGCTAGCCTGGACAACATATGGAGATACCTCCCCCCATCACAAAAAAAAAAAAATTGGTGGATCCAAGAACGATCTTTTCCAGGAGATAGAAGGAATGTGTTCCCCAGATTGGGAGTCATAATCTATCCATTCTGATTCCTGGGCTCCACCCCTCTCTCACCCTTCCCAGGAAATCGGGGATGTGGAGAATTGGGCTCGGAGTATTGAACTGGACATGCGCACCATTGCCACCGCCCTGGAGTATGTCTACAAAGGGCAGTTGCAGTCTGCCCCCTCCTAGCCCCTATTCCCTCCCCCTCCTCACTGTAGGGGCAGGAGGGAGACTGATGGGTCATAAGACACAGTGTCCAGCCAGGCATGGTGGCGCATGCCTGTAATTCCAGCACTTGGGAGGCTGAGGCAGGAGGATCATGGGCGAGTTCAAGACCAGCCTGGGTTACAAAGTGAACTCAAGGCCCTCCTGAACTGCATAGTGAGACCCTATCTCAAAAAGACCAAAATTAAAGTTTTTTTAAAACAGCAGCATCCATTTCTATGTGGTATGTTTCAAGAAGTTACTGGCTTCAATATGGGAGTGGAAGAGGTTGTTTTCCAACTTCTTCCCAACTTCTACTGTCCAGCTTTCTCTCCGTGGACTTAGTGTAGGTGGCTTTTGGATAAGCAGAGGGTGAAGTTATCCACATGTCCCTAGAAAAGATCCTACTGGCCCCCATGCCAAGCTTCCCAGGTCTGGACTTCAGTTACAGAGGAGAAACAGACAAGCAGCATGCCTGGTTGCAGTGCTGGCTGGCCGCCTCGCCACGTGCTCATGGCCTCTCTCAGGCTGGCACTAAGCAGTGTCATGCGTCTGGGCTGGGTAGGAGATTAATTCTTGAGGGCATTTCAGGGCTAAGAAGACAAGCAAATGACAGGTTCAAGAGAGAAGGGCAGCTGCATCCTTGACAGCTCCGCCTCCGGGGAGACCATAGCAGGGACAGTAAGAAGCCCAGATTGAGAAAAACAGTCCAAGAGAGGACCTGTGTAGATCTGGCCTCTACCAAGCCCTGGCTTCAGCCCTGCCAGCTTCAGCTGCTCTGGCTCCGCCTCCGTGTCCCTCCCCCACCCATCCTGCATACACTTAACACTCCTGGCGCCTGAGTCCACCCATTCCAGCTAGTGTGGGAGCTGTGGAAGACCAGGAGCAAAGCACAAGAAGCAGCTTCACGAGTCATAATATCTGCCTGCTTTCCCCAGAGGAGGTAAGCGGAATCCTGGGAGCTGAGGGTGTGACAAGACGGTAGCTAGATATGACATGTATTGAAGCTGAAGGTTGAAAGCTTTCAGCTTTAAACGTGTGCTTTAACCACATTGTGCCTCCCATCTGCTACAACCTCGAGATAGACAGACCTGCTACAAGAAAAACCAAGTTCAGACATACAGTAAGGTCAGCATCACACAGCAAGTTTGGGGCCATAGGGATTGAAATGCAGGGCTCCTGCCTCTGTGTGGTTCCAAAAATAAGACCACAGTTATGTTTAAGGGATTTTGGTGTCCCTGTTTTAGTAAAAGCTTGATGGCAAACCAAAACATCCTTCTGCTCCCAGATAGCAGGTTCACACACAGGACCCAGCCCACGGTTTGGCTGCATTCATAAGTATAGGAGTCTGCCCAGGTCTTTTTTTTTTTCCTTTTTTTTTTTTTTTTTTTTGTTTTTTGTTGTTGTTGTTGTTTTTCTTGCACAATAGGTATAATTTGCCAATAATCCACCAAGCAAGTAATTTCTACATCTGCTCAAACCAGATACTTCAGCTGAAAGGATGTAAGGGGCATGGTCTTAAGGACCAGAGTAAACAACAAGCTTTTCTGCCCAGCCTAGGCTGCCACCTGCAGGTTATCTGGATCCAGCAATGTGGCTTCCTCTGCTCCTGGGTACCTTGCTCTGGGCAGCACTGTGGTTGCTCAGAGACCGGCAGAAACTGCCTGCCAGCGATCCCTTCATCTTTATCACTGGCTGTGACTCAGGCTTTGGACGCCTTCTGGCACTGCGAATGGACCAGAAGGGCTTCCGAGTCCTGGCCAGCTGCCTGACCCCATCTGGGGCAAAGGAACTGCAGCAGATGGCTTCTTCCCGCCTCCACACCACCCTGCTGGACGTCACTGATCACCAGAGTGTCCAGCAGGCAGCCAAATGGGTAGAGACACACGTTCAGGGAGCAGGTAAGTATGAGCCACCAGGAATTTGGTGTACCCAACGTCCATGGTGACCCCACCAGCTGTGGGAAGCTAAAACAATGGGGAGCAGCAGTAAGAGAAAACTTGGGAGTGCCTGACTGCCCCCATCTGTCTCACCTCCCCACAGGGCTTTTTGGTCTGGTGAATAACGCTGGTGTGGCAGGCATCATCGGGCCCACACCCTGGCTAACATGGGAAGACTTCCATCAGGTGCTGAATGTGAATACATTGGGTCCCATCAGGGTCACCCTTGCCCTGCTGCCCCTGCTACAGCAGGCCCAGGGCAGAGTAGTCAACATCACCAGTGTCCTGGGTCGCATCGCAGCCAATGGTGGGGGCTACTGTGTCTCCAAGTTTGGCCTGGAAGCCTTCTCTGACAGTCTAAGGTGAGGGGTTATGGGGCTCTGGGCTCCAGGCCTAAGTGACAGCCCACTCAACAAATCAAGGAGCACCTGGCCAATGTAGATCAACAGAGCTGATTAAGGTACAGTGTAGTGAAGGTTTATGAGAAGATAGTTGTTTGATTTGGGGGGTTTTTGTTGTTTATTGAGACAGCATCTCGCTATGTAGTTTAGGCTGATCTTGAACTATAGCAGTTCTCCTGTCTCAGCCTCCTGGAATTACAGGCATGCACCACCACACCCAACTCCGGGTTTCTCTCAGCAAACTTTAGTAGTTTACTTGTCTTTACTTGTGTTTTCTTAATCTGTTAAATTAGGATAAGAAGACCTGCCAGGTAAGTACTGGGAGTAAAATGAGGTATGTGTAAGAACCGTTAACACATAGTAAATGCTCACAAGAACCTGCTATCATTAGGGGGGAAAAAAATCACTCAGAGCCAGGCATGGTAGTGCACATCTGTAATTCCAGCACTCTGGAAGGATGAGCCAAAAGAGTCACAAGTTCCAGCCCAGCCTGAGCAATTTAGCAAAAATGTTTTAAAATTTAAAAAAATTTTTTAAATTTGTAGCTCAGCAGCATAAGCACCTGCCTTGTAAGCAGGCAGTCATGAGTTCGATTCCCAGTACTGATTTAAAAAAAAAAAAAATTTTAACCATGTGGCTTACTACAAAAAACCTGAGTTCACTCAGCACCAGAAAAAAAAAATTAAAATAGCTGGTTGTGATGGTAAACACCTAGAATACCACCAGTTGGGAGATGGAGGCAGGAAGACTGTCATGAATTCAAGGCCAACCTACACTATAGAGCAAGATCCTGTCTCATAAAAGCAAAATACAAACAACAAGAACCATCATACACGTGAACAAGTAGCTTTTGGTAATATTGTTCTTGTCATTTTTTCATTTAATTCTCCCAACAGCCAGTATATCACTGGTCAGTGGAAGCTGTGCAACTAATGCCACTCTAGACTCTTCACCCCCAGCACTCAGGATTCAATCCTGTTTGGGGATCTGGGAAACAGACTATTGTAAAGAACCAGAAAACTTTTCTGAGGACAGCTACTTTTTTTCTTCTTCTCATTTCTGGTTTTTTGAGACAGACTCTGTAGGTAGTGCAGTTTGGTGTTTTGTTATGTTTTTGTTTTTTTTTTTTTTTGTACAAGGAATCAAACTTAGGATTTTGAGTTTGTCAGGCAGATGCTGTGCCACTGAGCTATATCCCCAGCTCTCCAGGCTGGTCTTGATCTTATGGCAGTCTTCCTGCTTCTGTCTCTGGAATGCAGAGATTACAGACAAATGAAACCACAGCCGGCTCCTTGCCCCCTCCATCCATTTTTACATTTTTAAATCCTTACATTGTAAATGGTTGTATAAGAACCTAGCTAGAAATGCCAGGGATATAGCTCACTGGCACAGCATATGCCTGGGCAAGCACAGTGTCGTGAGTTGGATCCCCAGTATCAAAAAATAAAAATACCTAGTCAGGTGTGGTGGCATACACCTGAGGTCCCAGCATTTGGGAGAATGAGGCAGGAGGATCCCAGACAATTCAAGGCCAGCTTGGGCTACACAGTGAGTTCAAAGCTAGCCTCAACTGTATAGCAAGATTCTCTTAAAATAATATTTCTTGGCATGCAGTGCCCAAGATATTTTCTTTCAAAAAAAAAAAAAAGTTTGACCCTTGCTTGACTAAATCATAGAAGAAAATATACACAGTTCATGCCTAGAATCCTGGCTCTCTGAAGGCTGAGGCATGAGGATCAAGAGTTCATAGCTGGGGCTGGGGATTTAGCTCAGCGGCATTAGCGCCTGCCTTGCAAGCAGGCAGTTGTGAGTTCGATCCCCAGTACCGATAAAAAGGAAAAAGACAAAAAAAAAAAAAAAAAGAGTTCATAGCCAACCTGGGCTCATAATGAGACCCTATCAAAAAAAAGAGAAGGGTCGGGGATTTAGTTCAGTGGCCTAAGCACTTGCCTGGCAAGTGTGAGGTTGTGAGTTTGATCTCAGATACCACAAATAAAATAAACCTCAAAATTACCTCCCTGTGGGTGGAATATGTAGCTCAGTGGTACAGCACTTGCCTAGCCTCCTGCAGGCCTCTATTTGATCTCCAGTGCCACAAAATAAAAAGGTACTTCTCAGGGCTGGGGATTTAGCTCAGCAGCATAAGCAACCTGTCTTGTAAGGACATGGTCATGAGTTTGATCCCTGGTACCAAAAAGGAAAAAAAAAAAAAGGATACTTCTCTCCCTCTTCGGCTTGCACCCAGTTCCAGGACAGTTGCAATGTCTGTGTCAGGACTCCTGTATCTGGCCTGTTCCTGATTCCCTTTCTACATCCTTGAGAGTCCCCCCCTCATAGGGCAAGAACCCAGCTTCTTTACCCACACTTCAGGCGGGACGTGGCTCCTTTTGGGGTACGAGTCTCCATCGTGGAGCCTGGCTTCTTCCAAACCCCTGTGACCAGCTTGGAGAGTCTGGAGAACACCCTGCAGGCATGCTGGGCACGGCTACCTCCAGCCACACGGGCCCGCTATGGGGATGCCTTCTTCTCCACCTGTGAGTAGCCAAGCCGAGGGCACAAGGAGGGACATGAGAGCCAGAGGCCAGTCCACATCAGCCCCTCAGGCGCAGGGTAGGGGTAAACGGAATGCCATGGGAGAGTGTGCAGGCGCCCCGTGGAACCTGCCAAGTCCTCCACCAGGGGAAGGGACAGAGGAGCCCCCTCATCTCTGCAAAGCAACAAGCCCAACTAACCAGAAGTAGGGCCTAGGATGGGCTGGACCTGGGAGGGGATGCTGATGGCACCCACCCTGTGGCCATAGACCTCAGAGTGCAGCGGCGCATCATGAACATGATCTGCGACCCGGATCTAACCAAAGTGAGCCAATGCCTAGAGCACGCACTGACCGCTCGCCACCCCCGAACCCGCTACAGCCCAGGCTGGGATGCCAAGCTACTCTGGCTGCCTGCCTCCTACCTGCCAGCTAGCCTTGTGGATGCTGCGCTCACCTGGCTCCTTCCTAAGCCTGCCCAGTCAGTGCATTGAGCCCAGCCTTCCAGCAAAATTGTTTTTCCAAGGGCAAGGACTTTTTATTTGTCCCCAACCTGGTAATGCCTGCTATATGGCACAAAATAGACATTAAAAATAAACGTATTTTAAAACAAAAGTAAGTGGACAGAGTGCTTGGAGACTGACCCCACATAAGTGCTAATTACCCTAAGTTAACTGTCCAAGCCTCCAGTTTTTTTAATACCTGCAGGACAACCAGTAACCACTGGGGAGCATAAGTGAACTACATTGCTTTTATGGGTGCCCTTAAATGGTACCCAGGAATGGCCACAAGAGGGCACTTTTCCCTTACTTCCTATGTGAGGTAGGGTTACAATTCTGTTTGTAGTGGAAATAGCTTTATTTTTTGTGGTGGGAAGATAAGCCAGCACCAGATCCGGCCCACAGAAGAAAAAGCAATACTCAGATTCTCAATACTAAGAATAAGGAACCAGGCACCATGGCACATGCCTGTAACCCCAGCACTCAGGAGGCTGAGGCAGGAGGACTGCCATAGTTGAAGAGCTATAGTGAGACACTGTCACCAAAAAAAAAAAAAAAAGAAAGGGACACTGACCCTGCGGGTTTCAAGTGGCCTTACCACCCCTTTGCAAGTCTCCCTAAAGTTGAGCAAGAGGGAGTATTCTGCGCATGTCTATGGGCCATACTCAAAACAGGTAGGAGCACTACAGGAAATCCCTCCAACTTGACTTATGCATATGGTCTTGTGAATATTCTAGTGCTAAGCCTGGCAGCAGACTAGGGACAGACAGGGACATGGACCACAGCCTCCTCTGGATCCCCACTTCTCCCTCTGCCAGTCCAACAAACATCTTCGGCAAAATCCTTCTTTTCCAAACACCTCCCCAAACAGGCCTGCCTTTTCCAGAGGTACATGTGGCAAAGTACCAGAGGACAGGAACACAGAGAAAAGGAAAAGGGTACTAACATGGCAGCATACTAAGACAAGTGAGACCATCACTCCTTTTGGTCTGAAAAAATAATCCGTTTAATTGAAAAAACCTGGGGATACTACTCTACTCCCCTAGATGAGGGGGCTAAAGAGACGACCCCCTACATCACTTCATAGCCACTTCGGATACTCTTCACAAGGCAGCAGGCAAAGATGATTCCCAGGACCTAGAAGGAAAGAGTGGAAAGGAATGGAAGGGTAGGCTAGCCCAGGAATGCCCCTACATTCGGGCTCTTGTTCGAAGAGGCCAGTACCTCTTGTTCTCCACCCTCCTCCCCACTGACCCTGCTCCCCAGAAACCCTGGGCCTGGTCCCAGCCCTTGCCCAGGGCATCTCTCACCTCAACAAAAGCAATGCCCAGGGCTGCTGCAGCCACCAACAGCACATTTCTTCTCAGCCAGTTCCCAATCTTCTCCACACAGCCCTGAAAGGAGGCAGGAAAACACAGCAGGAGCAGCATCAGAAACTGATTGCCTGTCTCTTCTCACTCCTGACCCTGTTTACTACCATCACAGGTCTCTCTTGCCTCCAAAATCATCCCCAGGTTTCCCAAGTTCCACACTGTCTTTTCTTACCTCAGTATTGATAAAATTAAGCTTGAAGTCAGTGCCACAGCCCATGGTGACGTTGATACAGCAGGAGTCAGGAACTCGGTCCTTGCCCATGCCAAAGATGTTCTCCCAATCTGTGTAGTTAGCAGCCCCACAGCAATGAAACTGGGGAAGTGAAGAGAAAGAGGAGGAAAAGTCAGCAAGTGACACTTCACTTTCAATGTGGAGATTAGGACTGTCTTACCCCACTACCCCTGCTCCCAGCAATGCTACTCACTTTTGTCTGCAACTTGTCTAGAAATGCAGCTGTACCATTGTTTTTGGGGTAATTCTGCATCTGCTGTCGGAAGTCCTTATTAAACTCTGCTCTCACCTGAGAGGAGAAAGAAACAGTGTTAAGGTAAAAATCAGGTACATGGATCCCAGCACAGCCAGAGGCAGGGCTCTCTCCTTATTTCCTGCTTACCTTGTCTCTAAAAACATAGCCAGCGATGGCTATGGCCAACTCCACTAGCATGATAAGAGTCAGAAAAATGGCAAACTGCAGAGGCAAAGGAAAGGAGTCAGGGCAGGAATCTGGATGAGAAGGGTCTGCTCTTGCCTAGTCAGTGCCTGGAACATGCATGGAGCTCTTCCTCACCCACCTGCTTTGCCACCCTGCTATAGAAATCCCCTCTGGCAGTTCCAGGCACCCACACCATCCAACACACTCTGAACTCACAGTGATCATGAGACAGTAGTTCTCCTTGCAGGCTCCACAGCAGCCTATGAAAGCAACCAGGAAGAGGAAGGCCCCCACTGCAATGATGATCACAGGCAACAGGCTGCCAGGAGTAGCCCCCTGGCTCATGGTTCCACTCAGGATAGGCTTGACCACTATACCCACAGCAATCAATCCCACTGCACAGGCCTATGGGGAAGGCAGATGAACGTTAGGACCAAATCAACCCAGCAGCCCTCCACACTGTGGGCAAGTATAGTGAGGACACAGACCTGACCACATCCGAGGAGCCAGGGAGATTCTCACTCCTAGAAATCTTTTTTTTTTTTTTTTTTTTTTTTTTTTTTGGTACTAGGGATCGAACTTATGACCTTGTGCTTCCCAAGCAGGTGCTTACACTGCTGAGCTAAATCCCCAGCCCTCCTAGAAATTTTTCAAAGGGGTAGCAGGACATTGATTGTCCCATCCTTGCCCTGAGTGAAGGCTGGGGAATTGTTCTAGAGCCAATAAGAGGAACGAACCTTTTAAAGATGATTGCCTAAACTGTAACCCAAACCCCACTTATTTATTGCAAAGTGCCAATGCTGCAATTAAGCCAAAATACTGACGTTTTAGTTTAGAAAAACAACTCATACATTAACATTTTTTGTCTTAAAAACAAACAGCGTAAGTCATAGGTTCACCACCACTGTAGATACTCAGGGAGGAAAGGATTAGGAGCCAAGCCTTCCTTTAAGAAGCTTTACATCCAGAGGAAGGACCAAAGGAAAAAAAAGAGAAGTACACAGAAACTTGACCCCAAGGCATATATTCTTGACCCACAGTCGTACTGGCTTCCAGGGATCTCAGCTAGATTCTACTAGAACTGCCTGCCCCCTCACTTGGCCTCCAGTGACTAAGAGCCTCAGGGGAGGGAGGAGGAAAGGGCCAAGAGTGTCATGCCCTCCCTGGGCAAACAGTAGCCTTTCGGCTAGAGCAAAATAAAGATGGGCAGAGCCCTTTTCTTCCAAGCAGTTGGGCTGGGAAAGAGAAGGAAAAGAGGATTCCAACAGGCAGCAGTGGAGGGAAGCCTCGTTGGTGATAGCATCGGGCCGTTGGATGGTTGCCCCACTACCATATCACAAGTGGTTGGGTCACCAGACAGGAAGGGCCAGGAGAAGTGGGGGTGGGGTGGTGTGTTGTACATCCAGTTGGGACATTCTAGGTCCAAACCAAAAGCTGCAGGGAGTGGCTGGACTGCCTTCAGCCCTTTCCTGGAGCTCCCCTTCCACATTTGGTCTCCAGCTGCCTGCACTCCGGGTCCCCCAAACCCTAACAACTCTTGCGCCCACGCGCCCCCACCGCTGTTTCTCCCCACTCACGCAGAACACCAGCAAAAGAATGTAGAGCAGGAACTTGACACATTTCATTCCTCCTTCCACCGCCATGGTTGCTGGGCCTGGGGCCGGTAAGAAGAGAAGGGAGAGAAGCGGAGTGTTGAGCCAAGGGGGCCCGCCCTCCGCACTCCCGGCCGGCCCTCGAGGCCTTCCCTGCGCGGCCCCAGTCCGGCCCCGCCCACGGGGAAGCCTGCGGCCGTGTCCACGTCTCCCAGCCCCCTCTGCTCCCCCGGACGGGGTGGGGGCGACGCCCGAGATCCCAGCTCCTCGGGAGCGCGGGAGTCTACACGAAGAACAAGGGGTTCGAGCCTGGTGTCCGCCCGTGGGCTACCATCCCTGGACGTCAAACACCCCCCCCACCCAACACGCCCGAAAACGGTCCTCCACCCAGTCTCGACCCACCGCCGTCACTTTCCGCCAGACGCCGACTTCCTCCGAAAAAAGTGCGGCCAGTGCCCCCTAGCACCGCGGGCCTCGGAAGCAAATTGGCTCGAGGGCCGCGGGACAGGCCCGCCTCCGGAGGCCGGGGGTCCCCTCACCCGCACCCGCACCCGTCGTGGACGCCGCGGCCTCACCCGGACTCCCCGAGGCTGTGCGATCCTCTCCCGCCGAAGCTCTGGGCGCTCTGGCGGCGCCCCCGGCTCCCGCCCCGCCTGCTGCGCAGCCCCGCCCCGGCCCCGGCTCCGGCCACAGCCCCCTCCCCCCGGGCCGCCGGCCTCCCTCGTGACGCGGGAACAGCTGCGGCCTGAGTCACCGCGATCGGTAGTGAGGGCCGAGCCCCCCCTGCGGGCCACGTGGCCCTACCGTAAGGCGGCGCCCACCGCCCCCGGGACGCCACCGGATCGGGTCTCGGCGCCCCGGGGTCCTCGGGAACCGGCCGCGCGCGCTGCGGTGCTGCTGTGCAGGCGGAAGAGGCCGGCGAGCGCCGAGGACCGACCGATGGCGGGTCGAGTTGTCTTCTGAGCGCCCAGACGGCGGAGCCGAGGCGAGGTGAGGAGGCGACTTGCAGAGACCTGTCCCACCCTCCAGCTGGAGCCCAACTCGCACCCCAGCTCCACGGCTGTCCCAGCCCTGCTCCCGTCCCGGAGTCTGCGGAAGGCTGTGCTCCCAGCCCGCCTGGAGTCGGATGGGACCTGAATAAACACTTACAGAAAGTGCCTGGCCTGTGTTGAGTCTCCCACCATTCTGGCTGGGGACTGGGCCATCTTGACGCGTGAGAATTGAGTCTGTGTCCCAGGCAGTGTCACCGACCCGGTCCAGAGAGGGTCCCGAAAGACAAGGGAAAGAATGCCATCGTACCCTACCCTCAGAATAAATCCACGGACTCTTGTACCAGAAAAATAATTTTCAGGATTTGTCAGTCAAGAGATATGAAAAAGATTTGCCTTGAAGAAAAAAGACTCAAAAAAAAAAAAAAAGAAAGAAAGAAAGAAACAAACAAACAAAAGGGACTGTGATATTCAGAATATTTTGAAGAGCTGAGAGATTTTTTTTTTC